GCGTCGAAGATGCCCTACCGCGTGCGCACAGCCCCCAGCGGCCCTGAGTCGACCCTTGGCCGCCCTGTGTGGCAGCTGCCGCAGCCGTCCAACCGTCTCACGGTTCTCGTTCATGGCGGTGGGGAGCTCCGAGTACTGGGTGGGGTGCGCGGTCTACCCTTTGCACGATAGTAACCGGAGCCGACCGCCATCTGCCGCCGCCGCCGCCGCCGCCCAGAGCAGTGTGTTTACCTTGGGCGGCTGGGCGGCGGCGGCAGGAGACCGGTTCCATGCCGCCGCCGCCGCAGGAGCGAGGCGCTGCCTGCTGGAACGCCCTGCTGCCTCCGCGGTCGGAGGGTCGGTCGCCGAACGACCGGTCGTGACGGTCGGACTGCTGACGTCACAGCGGTACTGGTCAGCTGATCGGCAGGTGCTGGGCCGGCCGACCTCGCCGGCGCGGCGGTAGGCTACCCGTGATGGAAGGCGCCGGGGTCGGCGGGCGCTCCCGGACCTGGGCTGTGCTTTAGAACAAGTGGCTGACTGCCGGCCTGGCTAGGTCGGTGGGCTACGGGTCGCGCGGCCCACTGACACGGAGCTGACTGGTCGGTCAACTGAGCGCTTCTTAGACAGCGGACAGGATGATGAGCAGGTGACTAGGCCGTTCCAGGTGTTAGCATCCTTCGGAGGGAGCTGTTGAAGTCCCTGATGAATCGCACTGATTTCGGGGAAACGAAGCTTCAGAAAGGCTGTTCTGTGATGAACATATTGCAAGTAAATTTCGTGTAGCTCACTTGAAATACACTTTCAAACCTGTTGTTTGTGCTTCTATATTTTGTTTGTTATCCTCTCTGTTAGCCTGAGACCCTGTACCCAGGCACTCAGTGATCATCGTGAGACCATCCACCACTCCCTGCCCTATGTAGCACCCTCTGCAGCTCCACCATCTCGCTGCGACCGTCCACTGTTTGTGATGACGTGATAGCGTCCCCGGCGCCGCCCCTGGCCGGCCGGCCGCTCTGTTTGTTTGGTCGCGGAATGTGACGCGACGCTGCAGCAGCCGCAGACGATCGCGCCGCAGCGCTGCATGACCGGAGACGATCGCACCGCAGCGCTGCATGACCGCAGGCGATCGTGGCGCAAAGCGATGCGGCTATTCGTCAGGACACCGGACGCCAGCGGGGTCACTTGGTGTCATTCAGCGGCGGTAGACAGGACTCTATGACACTACTGCGCCACTGTTCATGCAATTGTTTGCTGTTACACATGGAGGGTACCCGGCGCAGACCTCTGACCTGGCTTTGAATGGTATTGCGGTAGAGCTGCCAGTTTTCCTGCATGGATAGACCGCCCTCAGACGTGAGACTCTTCCAGACCGAACAAAGAATGTTATTCCTGGAGGAAACGTGTGGAATCCCAGTGAGTTGCACCAAAAACATCAGCTGTGAAAGCATTACGTTAGCCGGAGAATGGATCACCACGTCAGCGCGGCGTCACGTCGTGAGTCAAAGACCGCTGTTAGACCGTCCGAGGTTACGGGTGCACTGTGCTCTGTTGTCGGCCGCGAACAAATAGCGCCCCGTGCAGCTTTGTTTGACTGGCCGTGCTCGTCAAAACGGGCGAGTCGTATCGCCTTTGATACGGTATCGGCACCGGAGCAACAGCACCCGCGCGCGAACGGTGTGCGCGCTTTTTATGGCGCGCCATTATAGTGAGTCGCGGGGTTTTTGTGTGGTGGTGTGGTGACCACCACACCTGGCGCACGGGTGTGAACGGCCAGCCTCGGGAGGTAATACCAAGCGGAGACTGGAGGGCAAAGATCAGCGAGGTTGGGGATGGGCTTTACAAACACTGACGCGGTGTTTTGCTCCCACGAAGGCAGTAGATCATCATCGGAATTCTCTGTGATTCGGACCTTCATGCGATCGAGCGAGGGTGGATAGTTTATGAGCGGAGCTTTGTCCCCCGTTTGGTGGCTATCTGATCGCGGGCTCCCGTCATGCCTGTCAGCGCCGATAGTGCAAAGAACGGCTCCCCGGTGCACTGCAGCCTTGCTTTTTGTACGGCGCGTCCGTGTCCGAGCCGTATTAGGTCAGTGACGCACCGGGATGGGGGCGGAGGCATCTCACCGCGACTACAGAGTCGAGTGAGCGGCCATTACCGACCAAACGGCCTTCGTGGAAAGGCAGGCCGCGGATGAATCACACAACTTCACCATGTATCACCGTGGGAGGTCAGTAGTTCGCCCTGGGGTCACTAATATCAACGATGACCGGACAATGGCTTGGAGGCTGGCCATTGGTCACCGGAGCTGCAGTGCCGACGGCGCCGGTTGACCGATGGGTCACCGAGCCTCGGGTATCCGCTTACACCGGAAGGCGGCCAATTAGCGACCGGTCTCCGGGGCACGGCACTGTGTGTGCCCAGTGGCAGTGGGGTGCCGGTGGGCCGGCCGTCCCTCTGAGAAAGGGTCGCGGCGGCGGTGACGTGGGAACGGGTGACGGTCGGGGTTCCTGTGGTTACAGGCCGTGTGACTGAGCGTTAGGGTCGCCGCACTTGTCCGAGGCTTTTTAGCGGGCACGTAGAGGGGGAACCTGTAGTTATATCACCTCCGTGGTCGCTTTCCGCGTCGAATTCTGTGGAACCAGCGGCTGTCAGAACATTATCTGATCCTCTGCGGCCGGCCAGTAGCCGTGATAGTTCCAGTGACATCAGTTGTCTGGGGACTCTCTTCTGGGTAGGGAATGTAAGGGGAAGAAGTCGCGGTGGTTCACGGGAAATGTCCAGGACGAAAGTTAAGAGAACGTGAAGCTGAGGTGCTATGTCTTTGCCTTCCCTGTTTCGGAGGCTGAGTGATATAGACCTTCTTCTAAGGGATTTTATGCTCTGAGAGCTTCACAAAAGCTGCGTTTTGTAGCGTTCTTCTGCGTCTATTATTGGTTGCTGAAGGCTCTGAGGGCTAAGCTAAGCAGGATACTGTGGAACTAGACACTGTTGCCAGGGACGTGTTGCCGTGGGGAGGACTGGACCGATTGCGGCAAATCGGGTCGCCCGTCGCCAGCACTCTCTCCCGATATAGACGGCGGTGGGGTGTGTGCGTGACAGAGACACGATCTGGCGCCGACGGGTCCGGTCGGCCAGGACGAGATTGGCGCTCTGCGTGACCCAGAGACCGCCCCGCGGCCTGTGTGGACCAGCCCGACTCGGCAGAGTGACGGCCGGGTGACGGACAGGAGGGACGAGTGTCGGCGTGTCACGGTGTGACGTGTCGGTGGGTGGGTGTGACTTGACGCTGGGCGGGATGGAGTTCGTGGGCGGACAGGCGGACTGACGGTCGGGTCAGGGGTGGGCGGGACTGAGACCGTTATCCGTGATACACGACTGGCTGTATTCAGTCGATAGGTGCGGGTGTCTGTCAGCTCGGCAGCTCCGCCCGGCGGGTGAAGCTCAGCTCAGCTGGAGCGCCCGGTGACCGGTGGAAGGACCGGACCGGTCGGTGACGGCCGCTAGTACCCGGTGACAGTCGCTGCAGACCGACTGACCGCTGTCAGCCAGTGACAGTCACTGCAGGCCGGCAGGCTGTCAGTCGGTGACGGACACTGCAGCCGCTCTCTGTCACCACCCGGTGACCTCTGGTGACGACCCTGACGTCAATCGTCGCCGTCCAGTCCCACTGTCGACCTGCGCTCGCAGCCGGTCCTCGGGTCAGTCGGGCCGCCCACCGACTGGTCCGAGCGGCCTCGGTCAGCCGGTATTTACGTATTGCCAAGGGCGCCGCGGCCGCGACACTGATGACGTCACGGGGTAGCTAATGACGTCACTGGGGATCGGGATGGAGCACTGTCGACCGACCAGATTTATACACAGAGAAAAGACTCGACGGCGGACCGTAGTTGAAATACATTCGTATCCGTGACTGGGGTCCGCTGGCTGCAATATCTGAGCCCGATAAGTAGGCCGCTGAATGTGGATCAGAGAAACCAGAATGGAAAATGGAAATAAGATGTGGACTTTGTCTGAGAACGGAATGCATTGCCTAGAAATGATGATGATATGGAAACCTGATGCCTGTGTTATCTGGAAATAATGACGTGGTCTGATGGAGTAAGACGAGCATGCAATCGGATATTGTTCGTTAGTTGTGATTCTCTCTCGGTTGATCTTTACCTGGGAGGATTATCTGACCAGTCAGTCTCGCTGTCTGGTCAATCAGCCTCACTGCTTGTTATGCTGATTTCCCGGGCTGCTGGGCTGTAGGTCCCAGGCTGTGCTATTCCCGCCTGGTCTGACTGACGGTAAGGGAGGTGAACACTGAACAGGGGAGCCGGCGGCGCCTTCACGGCGCTGTCAGTCTATATTGAGCGGCCCGTTATCCTGGCCTTTGTTGGCTGGGTTAGGCTGTCAGGCCGGCGGGCGCGCAGCTGGCTGCTTTTTCCCCCTGGATCGCCGCTCAAATCTGGCTTAAGCCGGCGCCTACCCTATCGACCGTCCTATATCGCAGAATCAGCGCTCCGGGAGGAGATTGCGGAGACTTCTTGTGTGGGGAGATTGCCTGCGGTGGTGCCGCTGCGGCGCTGCTGACGTGGGGCGGTCTGCATCAGTGACGTCCAGATTGAGTTATCCGCGACATTAGCTGTCCTGTACCGCTGGCCGGTGTCATAGAAGCTGCCTTGACCTTTCAGCGTACGTCACATGCTCCCGCCCCTGCCTTTGCCACCGCCCCCTGCTCGCTCTGTTATGCTTTCAGCTGTTCACCAGATAACGATTATGTGTCTGCCGATTATGCCGGTTATTACATGCCGGATCCGGATGCCGGCGTGCGTTGCTTTGATGCGTGCATTTATGCCTCCCCTTCCTTCTCTCCCCTCCCCCTCCCCTCCCCCTCCCCCTCCCCCTCCCCCTCCCCCCCTCTCTCTCTCTCTCACTCACTCACTCACTCACTCACTCACTCACTCACTCACTCACTCACTCTTGCCATCAATGTGCTCTCCCCGTACTTACTCCCCTCTCCGTTGTTTCGACAGGCGTGGTGTACGAGCACCCCCGCATCGGCTCCGACGGAGAATCGGAGGAGGCGAGCGGCACGTCAGACGAGCTCACCAGTCCAGTACACGTCAAACTACGGCAGAGGAGGGACCGGGAACGGCGGCCCAGTGCTAACGTAAGGAGAACGGCCGGCTGATGTGGTAGCGAACGGCGTGAGGGAGGGTCACGGCACGAGACGGCTGTGACAGGGACAGTGAGCTTGTGGGGATGGGCGGCGCCGGAGAGAAATGAAAACGGATCAGAGGAGTGATCTGGTATATTATGTGCTACTGGGCTGAGAGGGAGGGCTGGTGGGCTCTTTGTCTTTCAAATGAATTTGATTTACTACTTGCTGCTAGGTCGCTAGGCGTTGCTCGAACCACGGTCGTAATGGGATGTATGCATGCAGTAAGGGCACTGGTTATACTGCATGACGCTGGCTACTAAAAAGACTGATCAAGCTGATGCATACAAGGAACTGCTATCGTCCAGAGGTCGCCGTAAAACGTTAGTCGCGATTCGGAGCGTGCCATTCCGATTGCCCAATGCCATTTCGCTGGTGCGGTGAATGGAGAGAAAGTTTTACGCACTCTGCCTAAAAACGTGGCCGCGCGCATTGGCACATGTGGAATCGTGCACGTCGGCAGGTCCGCTCTGTGACAACGTCCTTGGGAAACCGGTAGAGGAAGAAAGAAAGAGAAAAAGAGAGAGAGAGGGAGGAGGAAGAGAAAAAAGTAAGAGAGAAAAAGTGGAAAGAGGGATAAGAGAGGGATAGGCTGGATTAAAGGATGCGGAGGGTGAAAGGATCAGAAAAGAGAGACCGAAAGAGTCGTCGTTTCTGCGCTCTGGGCTGTTTGGGGAACTGCTTAGATGCATGAGCCGATAAATTGCAATCATCTGGAACCGGATTGTGAAGGTGTTGTCAGCACGTGTTTGACGCCGGAGGTACGACCTTGGATTGTGATGCATGCTGCGGACCTTGAGCAGCTGGGCGCTGGAATTCGTTAGCCGTGTTTGTTGGATGACAAAAGGTGATAACTTACCTGCCCGTCCTGTTTGGCAGCAATGCTAATTATTTCGTGATGTTTGCTGCTTGTGAACAGAGTTAATCCATTTAAGAGCCTGGATGAAGTGACGGTAGCTTTAAATTGCTCGATCCAAGCATCTTCAACAAATTATTGGCATCTTGCTAGACGACGATAGAAGGTTCAGTTTAAACTTTAATGTTTCACTCCGGGGTTCACTAAAAGAAATAACATTTAACGTCAGGGTAGAGCCACTGTGACTTTATCCCTGTCCCACTGATAAACTCTACATCTATCGACTATCGCTCGCAAGAAGTTCTCGAGGTCGTACCTTGCCAACGTCTGGTCTGGCTTTAAAGCATGCATTTCAAATGCGTCGGATCGATGACGCCGGGCTCGCTCGCACTGTCGAACTGGTCTACGAACCGTGGTTGTCGATCGTCGTACGGGTCACTGGCCAGTGGCCATGTTTGTGTCGGAGTCGCTCAGCGGTGGGGGGGGGGGGGGGAGGGTCTGTATCGACGTGTGGAACCCGTCCTACACTGCCCAGTGTAGCGTGGCGCCCCATCCCCAAAGTTGGCCCGGGTTTGGGTACGCGCTGTGGGAGGAGGGGGAGAGACTCGTGTGGGCGGGTGAGTCATTGCCGTCTCTACAGAGTGCAGCTGACCGTCCCTCCATGTGTCGGCATTTCATAATGTATCAGTCTGTTTACCTGTCTGTCTGTCGGTATGCCTATCTGTACGTTTTCTTATCCATCCGTTTAGACCTGCTCCAGCACCAGCTCTGACCGACTCCAACCAGACCCGGCGCCGATCGCGGCTCGCGCGTGACTCATAGATGCACGTGCACGGACTCAGGGGGAGCCCGTGAGCCGTGAGCCAACCGGCACCGCCGCCCGCCGCCAGACGGCCAGGTGGCAGCCGGCGACGCGCCGCTCGCGCCGCGATCGCGCCGTTTTTCGTCGCGCCGCGGCGCTGTTTGCCGTGCACGCGCCACTATCGGTGCCCGGCGCCGCCGTGTGGTGTCGGTCGACCTTTGCGTGCAGTAGCGGCGGGGGCGGGGCGGACCGTTCCGCCCGCGTGTCTGTGTGCCGACGGCGGCTCACCGGGTCGGCCGGTGAGCGTTCCTCTGCCGTGGAGAGACGCTCTGCCGCGGCGCGATCGTTCCGCTGTTCATCTCCTGTTCTGGTGACGTAGCCGCCTGACTGGTCCGGCGGAGGTGGCGCAGTGGCGGCCAGGGTGGCGCGGCGGCGGCAGTGGCGGCGCCAGCGGGCCCATTGCTGCCCGCGTCCATGCGCCGCGTCTCTGTCACGGTAGATATCGTTCCGGGGTGGGGCAGCGAGTGTGATAGCGAGTGTGGCGGGGGTGGAGTGGAGTGCGGTACGGGAGTGGAGAGTGGGTTGAGTGAGCTGTGTGGATTGTGAGTGTCGGCCATGTCAACTATCAGTTTTGCCGCGTATGGTGGATTCGCTCGGCTTGGCAGGGGTCTGGGAGTTTTGGGAGAGAAACAGTTGCCGAGTGGTGTGGTTAGGTTATGTGAGTGCTGTGAGTGCAGAGTGCTCTGTGAGTTATGAAAAGTGTTTCCTGTGCTCGTCAGTGTATGCAGAGTGACTCGTCCCCATTGAGGCAATGTGCTGTGCGCTGTGGCTATTTGCAGTGCAATGGATGTGCTCTGTTGTCATTGAACCCATTGTGAGGCTCCCAGCATGCATCATTGCATCTGCGCAGCAGGATGGTGTGCTTAGTTGGCTGTGTGTCAGTATCTACGTTCTCTGTTGCACCTCTTCTAAATCTACGAGAAGAGTATCTATTTTTACTACTTTTGCCACTTTTTTCTGGTTATTCCCAGAACACATCATGTGTTTAAGAACAGAGCAGCCCCCACACGCGCTGTGCGTGTTTCACTGCTCGCTGTTCACTGCTGCGTGAGTGTTCACCAGGCTAGAGGGCCTTGGTTCACCAGTGCGTGTGATTGACGGCGGTGAGTCGGCGCACCGGCGGCTGACTCACCGCGCCGTCACCTCCCCATTTCTCACCCGAGCTCGCCGGCCACGTGCCGAGTGTGACGTACGCTCCTCTGTCGACAGGAGATCAACAAACGGCTGTCGCTGCCGGCCGATCTCCACCTGCCCGAGTCTTTCCTTCAGAAACAGTCGCTCAGTCCGACCCTGGATGGGAGTCTGACCCGAGCCACCCGACGACAGTCACTCTCAGAGATCGGCTTCGGCCAGCAGGACACCTACATCAAACTCGACAAACTCGGAGAGGTGAGAGTTGAAAATTCGCGGACACCGTTGCCGGCAATGCTAAGATAGTGTGACAGACGTGTCCCAGTTTGCTTTTTCTGCGTCAAGGTTTTCATTTTAAAAGTGTCAATAATCTGACATGGCATCGACAGCACTTGCTCTGTCGGTTGTTTTTGTGTCAAAGTTAACCCCCGAGTAGTGCAGCCCAGCTGTGGTATTTTCCTTGCCATGGTCTTATCTCGCCTTCCTGTGCAACTGCCGGCCACTGCCGGCGATGTGGTGTGGCGACAGCGCTGTGCACCCGGGCCGCTGCACTCGGACACGCCGGTCTGACGGGGACGGATGCGGTAGTGCGTCCATTCATCTTCCTGTACGGTACTGCGCGGGGAAACTGGCACATCGGTCCTTCCCTGACGGGTGTTCAGTCGTGGGCCTCCTCGGCCTGGGGAGAATCTCGGCTGCGATGCGACCGCGCCAAAAAAGAATCTTGGCGTTGATATGGTGTTGTTAGGCAGTGGTTGTAACCTCGTGTATGTTTTGTTTGTAATTCATTGATAGAGGGTCAGGGAGAAGATGCGCATTTCGCCATGTGTTCGTTTCCGGAGACAGCTTATGTAATGATATCGTGAACTTCTGAGCTCATGCTGTGTGGAGCAGCAAACAGAAGATATTTATTTGTGGAGTCCCCAGCCGAGTTCTACGGTCCTAAGCACTTCGGTTCCGGAAACCAGACTGATGTTTTGATAGTGGAGATTCGTAAGTAGTAGCCTTCTCTGATGTTGTCGCAGTTGGCCCGTGCTCCCGTGTTTCAACATCCTTGGATTAGGTCAGGTTAGGGTCGGGTCAAGTCCGGTCAAGGCAAGTTAGGTCAGGACGGGTGGGATCAGATCAGGTCAGATTGGAGTTTGGTCAGATCAGGTCCTGTTGACCTATTTTTGTCGGTTCGTGTGAGGTGGGGGTTAGTTCCAGCTCAGGTCGGATCAGGTCGGGTCACCCTGACCGACCACGCGACTGTCCAGTGAGCGGGTGTTGGACACGGACCTGGCCTCCACAGCACAGTCGCACGTGCAGCTGGGGCTCCACCCCACACCATGTAAGGCTGTACCGGCCGGCCAGCCGCCGCTGCACCGTGCTATCCACGTGCACGCCGCCTCTCACGGCCGGTGTGAGGGTTCTGCAGCTCCGCCCCCGCCCCCGCCCCCGCCCGGCGGACCCGTCCCGGGCAGTCCGGCCGCTATCGTCGGCGCCGTGTTTTTGGACGGGTCCGGTGCCAATTAGGGCTTCCGGGCGGCGGGCCGCGCCGGGCGACGGTCGATACAGAGAGCTGCTCTGTGATACCGCTGCTGGACTGTCACCCCCGGAGGCGGCGGCGGAACGGCGCGGAGGAAATTAGCGCCGCCAGAGCCGTCCCCACCCCTCTGTCTCTGTCCCCATCTCTGTCCCCATCTCTGCTGCTCCGCCCCGCGGGCGCGCCTCTGAGGATCTTTGTTCGCCCACGGGATGGCGCTTCTAGTGAAGAGTTTGCAGCACGACCTCTGCCCTTTAAAAGTTGACGTCACCTATCTTTTTCTTCTGCTGTGTCCGTGTTCTCCCTCCCTCTCTCCCTATTCGCCGGCCCGCTCTTTCTTCACCAGTCACTGCCTGAGGGTCCTTCCTTACAGTCACGGCTCCTCAGCGCCGACCTTCTCAACACTAGTCTTCTCTCTTGATGGCTTATCACGTCCAATTCTATTTCTTTTCCTGTTTTTTTTTTTTCATCACCACTGGATAAAACCACCGCCACTACCAACGGTCTGAGCTCGCAGCAGCACTGCAGGGTGGTAAAAAATATGTTTATATTCTGTAGCTATCTTCCAAGATGTCGATGTTTTAATTCTTAGCACTTCGTAGTTCGTATAACATCACGGACAATGGTTCTATTTGCTCTCATCTCGGGCTAAAAGGATGAGTCCTTATGACCCCTCCCTGCAGTGGCCCGCGGTCCTTCCCCGCCCCTGCGCGGCCTTCAGACGACCTTGCCTGTGGCCGGGCGGCCGCCGTCTCCCGCGGTAGCCATCTCCATATGGATGGAGCCATTAGAGGTGCCATATTTTCCCGTCAGACAGACAGACAGCGAACATTCCCAGTACAGACTGGAATCTGTGCGGCTAATGGTAATGTGCGGTCCGGCTGGTGTAATTCTGTTGTGAGGGGCGGTTTGATGGTGTAATTTAGCACTCCGGTGCGGTGCGGTGTGTGCTGAATTTGCTGAGTCGTTGCACCTCTGAAGGAGTGGCCGTCTGCTGTGTGTATTCATGCATACATAAGAGCGTGCCCTGTTGTGGATGGTCACCTGTGTGTATCACTGGATCGACTGTCTGTTCGGACCAGGGCCGTATTCACGTCGATCTTTTTCGTAAGAATTTTCTTAAGTTTGACCTACTTCTTAAGTAAATTTTTTTAATCACGTGAACTCCATCGATAAAAACTTAAGAAGTGTCGACGTGAATACCAAATTATACTTACGAAAGAAAATCGACTTACGAAGTCGACGTGAATACGGCCCCAGAACGCCTCCCGTCGCCAGTGTGTCTGTTCTGAGGACACATCTACAAACCATATCTACCTCGGGCCTTGTCCGACCCGAGTGGCTTTCCTTCCTCCTGGTGCGACCTTCTGGTATTACCTTCTGGCGACCGCATTCGGCCGAAAGGCTTGTTTTCCTGACCACTCCCGTCTAGCATCATCTCTGTCGATCTCGTTACTATGATGTACTTATGTTTTTGTGTGTCTGTGTTATGTCTGCATCTGTCTATCCATATTGTCTTTTTGCCATATGTCGGTCTGTATATGTTTCCATCTTCAACCTTTCCCCTCCATCAAGACACCAAGCTCTGCCGTATGGAAAATCCGCCACTGACGTCTGTTCTCTTCCCACAGGGTACCTACGCTACTGTCTATAAGGGCAAGTCGCGACTCATTCCGAACCGGATCGTGGCATTGAAGGAGATTCGGCTGGAGCACGAGGAGGGCGCGCCCTGCACCGCCATTCGCGAGATCTCCCTGCTGAGGAAACTCAAACATGCCAACATCGGTCAGTGGAAGAATGGGAGGGATGTAACAGAAGGAAAGGGAAGGAGGGATGGAGGGAGAGATGAAAAGAGCTAGATAGGGAACCAGAGGAAGCGTAAGGTAAGGAAAGGCAAAGCGTTAGGAAGAGGGAAGAGTAAGGCAGGGATGTGATTGCAGAGTGATGATTGGTTGTCAGGTTTTGGCGCAGCACTGTTTGATTCGCTGTGAGCGCAGAAGGGGGCGTGACAAAGTAGACGGAAATGTGACGAAAGTCGATGTAAGAATGTGACATCCAGTTATTGCTTCTGGAGTTTTCGTTCGGTTATTGTTTATTCCCCGGTGGGCAATATCTGAGTACATTTGGCTCTTCAGGGGCATGCTGGGTTCCCGTTATGTAAGCAATCAGCTTCCCAGCAGTATCAGGAAAAATACTTGCCTGCAACAAGTGATATCCACTTGACATACGATCCTTATCACAAATGTCGTCGACGATTTTCCAATATCTTCGCTATCATAGCCAAGTTTATGAAAAACATTTTCCAAGATGCTTTCGTAAAAGAAAATGTGTTTATGCAAAAGATGTGTGACGATCAATGGCAAAAAAAAATCGTTGAAGGAATGCTGCCTAGGTATGCGCTCAATCGCGGACCTGCGTGGTGTGGTAATTACTAATTAGTTTTGCGCCTAATGGCCACGTCGGCAAACTAAGCGGCAACTGCGTCGTACTGCTGACATGACGCCTGCTCTGCTAGCCGGCCGTGCGGACGGCCGCGTCGCGGAGGGGCTAGGAGGGGGAGGGGATAATTAATGAATAAGGATATCACGTCTGACTGGGGGTAGCTGGGAGAGTGACGAACGCAGCGAGCGTGCCGGCGAGGTGAGCGGTCGGTAGATCTCTCGGCGCAATCTCGCCAACCATAGATCACTCCCGGGGGATGGTGGCCGTCCGTACAGCGCCCGGGGGCTGGCTTCCCGCCGGTGGATGTGTTAATATCGTGTTTGGTGCCCCGCATTGGGTAGCGTGTCGGCGCAGATTCTGGTTTCTTTGTTCGGCTGAGTCCGTATCGGCTTTGCGGTATTGACGTGTCTGTATCGCCAATCGGGAATGTGTGTGTGTAGGTCGGGGGGATGAATCACCGCTGTGGGTTCTGGGAATGTTGCGTGACCGCTCCGCCCGCTGGGTATCACATCCGGTAAGGCGTCTGGGATCTGTGAACGGTGTTCGCCACCCTTCTGAACGTGCCTAGCCCTTATTTATCCCCCAGGAACCCTAGGGAAGCGAGGCGAAGCCCCTAAGCATCCGATTGTGAGATTTTAGAACGCCCCTGTCGACAGCCAGTGACTGCTATTCCCGGAAACCCTTCACTCTGTTTCTCCCGCTCTACCCTGTTTCTCCCACCATACCCTGTTTCTCCCACTCTACCCGGACCCAGGCCGCAGGTGCGCCTCCACACAGTCGACGTCCCTCCCGGGTCCCCTCTGACACACCGTCCGGCTGTGTCCGGGTAGAATGGGCGGGACAGCGGCTCTGTGGACAGTGTTCTCCACTCCCCGTACCTGTCACCGGGGACTTGCTTTATGTCGGGGACGCTGTGCGGTGGTGGGGGGAACGTCTGATGGCTACCCACTCACACCTCTGGCATGTCCTGCCGGGGTGTGGACGGACGACTGCGGAGGCAGGGGGAGGGACTGGCCGCTCCATATCGGGCAGTGAGACTTGCGGCGGATTGGCGGGGTGTGTGCACTGTGCAGGCGTCGAGGCAGGAGGGGAGGGTAGGCTCCTGTGATAGCCTTTTGTGTGGGGTTAAGCGTGCCAGTGCGTATGCTAAGTGGAGTTGGGTGCGTGCCCGTGAGTGGGTTTTGAACAAATTTGGTGCGATTAGAAATAATTTATGTGCGTGTCTTTGGGCTTGAGGCTTATGCAAAGCTAGTGAGCTTTAATGTGGTTAAACAAAGACAGAATCTTATTCCCTTTGATTATGCTTCCTTATTTGCTTCAGTAATCACTGTTCAACTGTTCTTTACTTATTAGTGTCAGTCGTTCATCCTGTTCATGTTAACCGCTGTTCTATTCATGGTGACTCCCGGCCTTACAATCTCTGACCTCATGGCGACCTGGAGACATCCACTGACCTCAGTTTTACCCCTGTTCTGCCCTCAGTGACCCTCCACGACGTGTGTAACACCAGTACGTCGATGACGTTGGTGTTTGAGTTTCTGGAGAAGGATCTCAAACAGTACATGGAAGACTGCAATAACGTACTCAGCCTCAACAACGTCAAGGTAAGCGAAACGGTAGGCTAATCTCTCAGGGTTGTCTGTCTGGCAGACACGAACAAGTGTTTTGTATGGAATTGCAGGTCCTAGAAGTCCCATCCCGGTTGCCGATTAGGCCGATGGGCGTTGAGAGCTGTAAGAGGGACTCCCTCCTCTTCCATCCTCCTCTCTCTTCTCCCCTCCCCTTCCGCTCCTCCCCCCTTCCCTCCCCACCCCTTCCCTCCCCACCCCTTCCCATTCGTCTTTGGCGACTGTGTTGGCTCTTCCCGGCGGCTATCGTCTCCACGCCTGACCTGTCCCCGGCCCGGTTAAAGTGTCCGCCTCAGCGCTTCCCGTTGACGAATGACGCCCATATATCTGCACGGCATTGTCATAATGTCAACGTGGATCATGTAATATTTCAGCCAAAGTGGCCGACTTCGTTATGGACGGAATCTCTGTATGAAATTGCAATGAATTTCAGAATAGAAGGGTCCGCTAGCGACCTGTTTTACTTACGATTTTAAGCCGTGTAGGAATGTATGTTCAGTTGGTGATTGCGTCATCGCATGGGCGATAGATCGTATCTGAAGGGCTATCGCCGAAGGAATTTGTTTACTTGTCAATATGACCGCTACTTTTTGCAAAGCTCCCCTCGAGCAGCACTTGACTGAATGTTTACATAGGGTCGATTCTCACCACACCCTCTGAATTTGCACGAGCCGCCACGCCGCTTCACAGCTACCTACACTACGCGGCTTCAAGCCCGTTTTGGTCAGAAATGTCTCATCCATCAGTCGGCAGTGTTTTTGTGAATGACATATGAGGAAAAGTGGTGCGGCGCGTGTCACCCGGGTAGCCGAGCTCTGGTTCAAAGTATAGGTTTTTGGCGGCGCGCGCCAGGCCGATAATACGGTCTGCGACGACCGTTAGTTGCTGAAGGGAGTGTCGCGGTGATGGGGGCGATATGCAGCACGCGAAATACGCCCACCGGTGGTCACTAGTGTGTAACGGCAGCGCGATGAAGCTGCCAAAGAACGCGTCGAACGGAATGAGGCTTCAGGTCGGAGATGGGGAACTGATTTGAAAAAAAAAATGCAGTCTCTTCATTTGAGAAGTAACTGCGCCGTGGCCGTTGTCTTGGGCAATGTTTTCAATAAGGAACCCATCTGGATTTCATATGCACATAGGCTCTAAATATCAGCTTTCTGTCCCATGCCATGTGATATTAGGTATGGGGTAAGACTGATTAATTGGGCTATGCCGTTAGAATTACTGAATTCTGGTTAGAGGCTGCTTCCGCGTGGGCCGGTTCGTCGGCACGGCCACCCCATCACCCCAGCCTTATAACCGGCCGTGGCCGCGGCTCCACTGCCGGCGTCTGTGGGCCCGCGGAGTTAGACCGGCGCCGGCTCCCCGACCCATTGTCACGCACTTTTTACGGCTGAGCTCGTGACTCAGCCGGCGTCTGGACCTCGTGAGGCGGCCACAAAAAGACGGCCTCCCTCGGCCGAGTAGGCCGCTTGCAAATGGCATGTGATTTTCAATCTTGGCCTGGCGCCGCTTAATGGGCCGACTGGTACGGGCCTGCTATTGGAGCGGCGCCGGAAATATGTGGCCCAAATGGCCTCCCCCGGGAAAATATGTGGTAGCGATTGGGGCCGCGCCGAACGGCCGAATAATCAGATCGCCGGCGCGCCGTCTGTAAATTCTCACTGTCGAACCGGGCGCTGTTGCGCCGTCTATTGGACGTTATAAGAATTGATGCCTTGAGCTGCTTTGGTGTTCCTATGGGCTGTATATCTTCGGCGTTTTGTTAATTGCATCTAAAAGGATCGTTATTGGGTATGCCGCTCCTACAGCGCGCGGCTGGTTGGATTGCTACAGACGAATTTCTATATAGGAGCTCATTAGCGCGAACGAAACTTGGCCATCTCATCCACATTTAAGGCGATCGGCGCTAACGGCAAACTTCCAAATTTCGTTTGTTCGTTTGATGTACTCTTTGAACTCTGAGTCGTGCTCGATCTGGTTAATTGTATTGCTTTACTTCGCCTTCTTTCTGTTTTCACTTTAACGACGCGGTCTACTCCGTTGTATTTTGTGCAAAGTTTACCGTTCTGAGCTATCTTCGGCGTTGGTTATTATGTATGTAAACAAGGCGTCCGCCTGTATGGCAGCCCTTTCCTGCCATCGTTCGTCGTTCGACCCCGCTACCTCTCGCCAATCACCAATCCTCTCTCACCCCCAGCCCCGAAATTCTCGTCTCCCGAGTCCCGACCCTACTATCTATACAGTCTTTCTCTCAAACATCACATCATCACCGTTGCTTGTATGATTGTTGCTGCCGTGTCTTACGTCCAACTGTGTTGCATCCCGCTCCCTGACCCCACCCAATTCCCGCTCTGGACTGCTGCTGTCCTGCCCGGCGCTGACCGTCCCATGTGCCCGCCCAGACATCTTTATAATATCTGTCCGCTGCTGTATTCCGCTCTCTGACTGCCCTCTGTGCCCTCCCCGGCAGCTGTTTCTGTTCCAGCTGCTCCGCGGCCTCGCCTATTGCCACCAGTACCGGGTGCTGCACCGCGACCTGAAGCCGCAGAACCTACTCATCAACCAGCTGGGTGAGCTCAAACTGGCCGACTTTGGCCTGGCGCGCGCCAAGTCGGTGCCCACCAAAACCTACAGCAACGAGGTGGTGACACTGTGGTACCGGCCGCCGGATGTGCTGCTCGGATCCACCGTCTACTCGACGCCGATCGACATGTGGTGAGTCCCCGCTACCCTCCCTGACTCTTCCATTGTTCGGTTAATGATTCCCAAGCGGATTTACCGCCTTTTTCGCAGATTTCTTGCTGGTTTCCCGCTGGTTTCCTTGCCGGCTTGCTCGCTGCTTCATTTTTCGCTTCCAGTGCCGCTTCCTTATTCACGTCCTTGCCTTTTCCCCGCTATTTTCCCCGTCGTTTCCTCCTGGACTCTGGCTCTGCGGTGCTGAGCCGTCTGTGTATCTCGGGCTGGTCTTGGTCAGCTATCGTGCCAATATTTCCTCCGGTACACCGTCTAGTAGTTCCTCTCTGGGTGGGCGCCGGACAGACTAGCTCTTGCTGATGTTGGAGCGGAAGGTGTTGATCCAAAGGCTGCTGCCAATCACTAGACTGTGATTCGTGCTCAGGTTAAAGCCGAGGAATCTGTAAAGGGCTGCTGTAATCTCAGGCTCATCAGTATCACTCACATGCGCACTTCAGGTAGCTGAAGGTAGATCTTGTGGTTAATCTCTTCTCGGCCCGTCGCCAGGACGATAAAAAAGCGGTGTAGATGTTTTCAGTTTACGTTGAGCATTGCCTGGTCGTGTGGTCTCGTTACCTCGGGCAGTTGGGCCCGAACCGCCCACTCCAGATAGTGCGCTCGTTAAACGGAGGACGATCGTTGCCGTAGGAGCTGTATTCCCTTGGTTAGGACGATGGTGGCCACGGGGGGCGATTCACTCGATCGCCGAGAATGGAGGAAGCTGTAACCGCGGGTCGTTTGGTTCGAAGATCTCGTTGCTGTGTGGTGTAGAAAGGATAGTCGGCACAGCAGAGATTTGGTGGTGGTGTGGAGGATTTAATGGTATTGATGCGAACCAACCTACGAGGCTTGAGCCTTTGCTTCCACCATGGTTTCTCTTGTGGTAGAACCCAAGAAGGATGGAAAATATTGTGCTTGGGCTGAAGACAGATAAAGACAAATTCTCTGCTTACTAAGCAAGGCAATCGTCTGAAATGGACTGCAACTCATCCACAGCAACAATATCTCCATAGCGAATGCAACGTCGAATGCCTTTCGGATTTGGGCCACAACATCCGTAGATTCCGTACTCTGTTTCTCACACAGCGAGCCCACACGGAAGGATGCAGGTCATCCCAAACGTCCCGTATTGCGTCATTTCGGCTGGGGCTGACAACAAACGCGTCTGTTTGTCTCTGAATGAATGGCGCAGCAGTCGGAAGTTACGCTGGGCCCGTGTCCGCTGTTACAGCTAACGGCCAAACACTTGGCCGCGTCTAAACTGGCGCGCCGGTGGCGTTTACAGCGCAGCGAAAGGCGCCACCAGTCGCCTCCAAGGTAAACAGCGGCGGCGGCGGCGGCGGCAGCTGCCATGTGCCGCTGCCAGCTCCGGCGTCAGCGCAGAGTTTTACCCGTCTATTTTGGAGTAAGATTCTGGGAAACTGAACAGTTTGAGGCTATTTTGAGTGCGGTATTTTTGGGCGGCCGTGGTGACCCCTAGTCCGTGCGGCGGAAGGGGGTGTGGGTGTGTCCGGTTGGCGGTGGGGTGTGTTAGATCATTGCTGGATCAAGGTTCCTGGTGTTATGATCGAAGTGAGATTTATCTCACGATGGAGAAATCGCTATTTCGAATTTTCACTTGCTACCGGATACTACGAGAAATAATCGATATCATACCATGTCGCTTAGGACGGAACGCGGATTATCGAGGTTTAGCAGTGCACGAAAATGAATTTGAGTATGAGGATCCAAAATGTGAATATTTTTACTTCATCGTGTGCGGTCTTTGCACATGTTTAGTTTTCATTCGTGTCGTGTCGACTGGGAGAGACGGCTGCCATTCCTGGGACGGTCTCATACCGCTACTTTGTGGAATAGCTGCAGATGCTGATTCCAACCTTCAAGATAGTGTTCCGCCTTGCATCTGGGAGCATCCCGACTCCCCTGGCGGGTGCTGTCGGTTGCACTGGGTCGGGTTGAGAGCTGTTTTCGATCTGCATATGCGCTCGGGTGCCCAGAAGTAGCGGAATACTATGACACTGGGCTTGTATTCGCCGCTCCCTGGTCGAAGGGTGTGTCCAGGACGAGCCGGAGGCATGGCTGCGCGATTCGTTCACAGAAATGGATGTAACTCACACCAGATGAGGACGCGCGACAAACATGATTGTGTGTCAGTGCCAGAGAAATGAATTGGATTAGTTCCTTGATGAAGTCGAATTAGCCATCTCAACACAATTGTCTGCGACGTAGACGGCATTGTTTCTTTAGGTTAGGCTGAGGGGAGGGAAGCTGCCTGAAAGTAAAGAAAATAAGCCGTTCCTGTTGCAAGCATGCTCCATGTTGTAAATCCACCGAAAGCGTTTTTGCTATCGAAAGCACTATAGGGTGTCCGTCAAAATTCGTGGAGATATGCTGTCCCACGATTTCAATAATGCCTCACGTCAATAAATGAGCTTATTTCAGCGTAACACGGGTCCGTACGCGAGATTTGGACATTTGATTGAAGAAAAAAATCATTGAAAAGGCAACAGCAAAGTGGCAAAAAAAAATTGGACATCTTTCCAAAACTGTGCTTTTGTGTGCCTATGTATTTTAGCTTGTCCCACAACCTGCGAAAAAAATCTACAGAGCTGCTGTGTAGTTATTTTTAGAGATAATTGAGCGCGAGGGAGCGTTGTGAATAGCAAAAACATTGAAATTTCTCTTCATGGTTCTTATTTTTTGGTTATACAATTTAGCAAAACTGCGCAGCGCAAAAACGTCTGTCCCACGGTTTTTGGCAAGCTTTTTTCTGGGTCACGTTTGTTTCTGGGTCACGGTACTTAGCTCCTCATTCAAAGCATTACGGACCGGGTAAGCAGGGTCTGCAGACTTGCATATGGTCCTATCCCGCGAAGGCGCAGAGAGCGGGGGCGGAAACTGAAAACTGTCAGTTGGGCTGGGCGAACCCAGGGGAAATCATCTCCTGCGTGCCATAAGATTTCTTTATTCTGGGTCACACGCCCTTGTGGCTTGTGGCTGGTAAGTGTCGAAAAGAATCACAGTGTCGTGTTGCTGCGTGCTCAGGTACTCCAGATAAGATGTACTTGGAGATTAGTATTCGATAACAAACTTGCCATATTCGGAAAACTGTAAAAAACATTCCCCTGGGTCACGCATTTTTTTCTTCTGGGTCACGAATTTTAGCGTGACCCAGGAAAAAAAATCGTGACCCAGAAGAGAAATTCTGCCCACCTACATCATCAAGACAGGCAAGTCTTTCCGCCTACGTGTGGAGAAGGTCATTGCCGATAAGGGGGTTATATCGCGCATGAGGTGAATGAACGTATCTGGTTTGATAATGCGTGACCCAGACGAAATTTTTATTTTTTTCTGGGTCACGGACCATTTTACGCGCATGCGCAATGGCATTTTTGAATAATTTCAACTGTGAACAGCCTAGGGTGCATGGTTTATGAAAAGGTAATTATTTCTAGGAAATCAGTTGTGGGACAAATATCGACCCAAATCTCCACGAATTTTGACGGGTACCCATATAACAAGTCGCCTGTCAGCATCCTTGTATGTCCGTATCAACTAGTCTGCGTACAGACAGAGAACTAATCATCCAGCGCTGCTTTCCACACTGTTTTCCACGTCAGTAACTGCTCTGGAGCGCTGACTAGCCAGCCGTGTCCCGTTCCGATGGGCGTCAGCCGGCGGCGGTCTGCGACTCCCACCCGTCATCCGCCACGGCTAATGAGGCTGTGCGCCGCCATCTGACACCCGGGCGAGCGAGATGGAGGTCCGTGTGCTGTCATATGACACCCGGTCACCCAGGGCGAGATGAAGATATGGATCTGAGCCTCGCCATACGAAAATTTGTCCTCTGGGTGACCTGGAGACAGGTCAAGGATGGGCGGAGCGGGAGCTGTCCTGGGTGGTCTGCGCAGCGCTTTGGTGTGTCTGTATAGCGACGGTTGGACGCTTCTTTTTTGTAGTCCGTGAAATCTGGACAGAAGCTGGTCCTTCCACACTACGTCAATAGATGTCGCGGTCAATGATGGTGACACGGCTGTCCACGATCGAGATTCGAAAGGTCAACTGAAATCAGTCAATTGGAGTGGAACTGAGCGTCGTTAGAAGGCGACAAAAGTTCACCTCCTAACTCTTTGGTCGAGCCAGAGCGGTGTGACCGGACAGAGGACGCCTTGGTTGGTGTGATGAGGACGGGGCAGAGAGTGACAGTGACTAACCATTACCAACTAGCAGTGATTGGTTGAGCAGTGACCCATTCACAGACGATGTGAAATGGAAATGGCAGTATCACTCGCCACAGATGCTCGGAGGAGTTCCCGCATTTGATGGAGGTACGGCCCTCCAGGCATTAAGTGGTTGGTTGCCAACATCACAATAATCGATCTGCATTGATGAATACGTCTAATGGCTGTTGAAAACCACTGCCGAAATGTGCGCGCGAGCCCTATTCTCATTGCTATTGAGTCATTTTACAGGAGTGTCTCTGTTATTTAAAGTTATTACCCAAAAAGCACATAGGCTAACCAACCACTCTTTTGCTGGAGGGCCGTACTTCTAATGCTCAATGTAAGCAGCAATGGGATTGTGTGGTGCCTGAATAGTTAGCGTGGTCCTTGCAGACATGCGTGATGTAATATCGCCATAATTGTTAGCTCACCGCATTCAGTTGTCATTGTCAAAAACTGTCGTCGGTCAGTCTTCCCGTCACAAAACATCGTCCTGCATGTCATCATCGATGTAAGCAGCTTATCCTGAAGAACGCCGTTTGTTTGTTTGTTCGTTTGTTTGTTTGTTTGTGTGTTTGTTTGTTTGTTTTGTTGGGTTAGGCTCTTTCGGTCTGACAAGACCATTTCAGATCCGGAAGGATGATAGGATTTAGGGGGAGACATTGGTCTGGGCAGACACCCTAGAAAGTCGCCGGGGCTGAGCCCGTCCGAATGGACAGGCCGACCAGCCCCCCAAGCACTATCTGCACCCGGCTACGGGGTGCGCTCCCTCGGGAGCAGCGGTGCCGCTCCAAGGGAGCAGCCCGCATGAGATAAAGATGCCTGTCCAGTCCGGAGTGGGGGTTGCGGCGTGGAGGAGAAGGATTTCAGTATCCTGAGGATGGAAACGACGGAACGGTGAGAGAACGCCGTCGCTTTCAACTGGCCTACACACTGCGCAGTGCGCACCGTCTGGCCAGTCCGGCTGTGCGCCATCCGGGGCGAATCCCGAGTAGTGTTGTGGACGTCCTACGACTCTGAAGCCCTACAGGACACCGCAGTCACGCACAAACGCACGCCGCATTGATGCGCATTGGCAGCTCTCTAGGACGGCATTGATTTGCTGGACAACCTTGGAAGTTAGTTCCGCGATTATCGTAATTGCTACTAAGGCTTCGTCGTACGATCAAATCTGCTGCTTACATAATATGCTTTACTTCCAAGTGTGTCTGTGTATTGTCAGGGTAGCTTATGTCGTAACAGAACCGTTTATTTTGGTTTGCTATCTGTAAGTCAACGTTTCTGCGCACATGTGACCGGTGAAACCCAAATCGGAGTAATGAAGTGCAGCTCATTTGTTTGTGCCCAGAAAAGTTACGTGATGTTCTGTCTTCTGCTCTGGTCATTGCTCGAGACTAGCTTTTGGTCAGCATGCATCTGCTTTTTCCCTCATTGTGTGATTTTCTTATTCAGCAGAGAAGTTTAGACGTAACCCATGCTTCATGTTTATCTGTATGTTTTAACGCTGTTCTGCGCCAGCAGCCATTTCGCTTTCTGTCTCTAACCGGACTCTTCCTTTCACAGGGGCGTGGGCTGCATCTTCTTCGAGATGGCGGCCGGCAGGCCACTCTTCCCCGGCTCCACAGTCAAAGACGAGCTGATGCTCATCTTCAAGACACTCGGCACGCCGACCGAGCAGACGTGGCCAGGGGTGACATCTATCGACGAGTTTAAGCAGTACAACTTCCCGCCGAGCCGCTCCGAGTCGCTGGCGGAGCGGTGTCCTCGGCTCGGCGGCGACGGCCTGGCGCTGCTGCGACAGTTCCTGCTGTACGAGGTGACGGGACGGATCGCCGCCGCCGACGCCATGCGACACCCGTACTTTGGCTCCCTGGGGCCGGCTGTGCTATCACTACCAGACGGTGAGTAACGGTGGGGAGAGAGTGGGAAGGAACGAGTAGGGGGAGATCGAGGATCGGAATGAGGCGGGGAGGAATCAGACTTCGAGACTGTGCGGGATGATATAGCATTGTTAGGTTTGGAGGGTAAAGTTGGGTGGTATAGGGTCTGAGGCCGTGATTGTGACACTTGTGACATGGTTTTGCATTGCGGAGATAGCTGGGAGAACCAATAGGATTTCAGGATTAAGATAGAAGATAATGTGAGCTGATTGAGGGCCTGGCAGCTCGTGCAAGTGTCAACCATGGCAGGGTTGTTTAGTTGGCACATGCTTTTCCAGTCGTAACTCGTATCGTGACGTTTCTCCCTGCTCTGTGTTTTCAGATGTTTCAATATTCACGCTGCCGGGCATCAGTCTGTGCCGGGAGCACGGCCGCGGCGGCAGCAGCGGCGGCCAGTCGCAGTCCGGCGCCAGGCAGCGACGGCAGACGCTCATGCTCTGAGCCGGCCGCGCCCAGCGCTGCCACGCGGCAATATTCCGAACTAGTAGTGTGTGCGCCGGCCGCCGGGCGGCGCGGCTCGTCATTCCGGCCGGTGATGCTCGCTCGCGGTGGTCCACTAGTCTCTCAAGGTCCGACCGGTCGTCTTTCAGCCGCGCCGGCCCGCGCCCTGGCTGACCGTCTCCGGCCCACGCGGCAGCGGCGCTGACAGACAGACAGACAGACGGGGCAACACGCCGAGCGAGCGACTGAGATAGAGAGAACGAGCGAGAGATAAAGGGAAATATTTGTCAAATCGCGTGGCTGTAACTTCTTTTGCGCGTTCATATCTACGTATATAAATAACCTTATGATGCGTTCCCAATGTGCCGTGTCGTGTGTGCGACGTGACTATGTGTATTTGCCGGATCTAGTGACATAGCCGAAATCCGGGCGTTCTCTGGCGCTCTTCAGTGGCGCAGAGCCGGCGGGCGGCGCTGACTGACCTGGGGTCCTCACCCCGACCCGGCTCCCCGCCGGGCCGGTCGGACGCGCCCCGGCCGACCCTCCCCGCAGTTGTTTAGTCGTGGGAAGTCTATTTTTGCAGCGTTCTGCGGACATTGTGTGGGAACGGCTCGCTGGGTGTTGTTGTGATGTGCGGTCCCGAGTCCCTTGTCAGAGGCGAAATGTTCACACACAAACACACACACATACACACACATACACAGTGTTGCCCGACCAAAATCGTCAATAAAGCTGTTTGTATAGCTGGTGTTTCACGTTGGAGGGGGGCGAGATGTCGATGAGTCTGCGGAGCGTGGGTGGGCGGCCGTGGCGGTCTACACAGTTTGGGACTGGATGGAAGTGACTTCTGAATGGGTCGAAGCGATGCAGTTTGGGTTGAAGTGTGTCAGTTGGAAAAGAAAAATGCCCATTGATCACCCACAGACATTAGGCTAGCGTCGCAGTCACAGAAAGGGCTATTCTTCGAAGTTCGATGCATCGCTTTCGGCACCCCATCGGCATACGAGACTGCCCCCGGACGCAATGAATCTGTTTTTTTTAGGTATTGTTTCTCTCTAGTCTCCAATGGGCAGAGCAGCTACCTCAATTTCCACCGGGTCGTAGTAAACTCGTCAGCACACCTCACTGCCCAGTAGCAACCCGGAACTTGGCCAGGTGATGAGTCAGTTCTCAAAGTTCAGCCGTCACTTATAGCAGGCGGCGAACATCTCACCCGACCGCGTCACTGTTCTGATTCATACGCTGTTTGAGAAGTCTGTCACACCTGTTAAAACGACCAATTCAGTCCTCACTCAGTATCTACGTCGCTTGCGTTCTTTTCCCATTCACTCCATACCTTTTACTTCCCAGATTCTTTTGCATTTCCTGAGTTCCGTTTCTTCCCTTACTTTTTTCTCTCAGTCTTATCTACTCTTAACATATCTTCTACCTCATCTTCAGTCCGCTCCCCTTCTTCTTTCGACTGCTCGCCCCACCTATTCCCTCCCTCCTCCCCCTATCTGTATCTGGGCCCAGCTCGCCGTCACGTCTTTATTTCTATGGTCGTCACCATCAGACTGGTTCCCGATGTGATTATCGTCCGTCGGCGTAACGGCAGACAGTCGGATCATACGGCGTAACGGCGACGTAACGGCGGCGTAACGAACATCAGTCGGCGCCGGTCCCGGACGGGTGGTCCCGAGCCGAGTGTGTTGATGTGTTTAGTAGCCGTCCATGACCGATCAGATGGTTTATCAACACCCCGAGTGTGGAACGATTGACGCACCGTGACGGTCGGGCCGCTAGTACCGCACGGACACAGAGCCATCACAGCGGACGGGGATGGAGGGCGCCTCCTCCGCGCGCGGTGAGCTGTTACAGCCCGGGCCCCGCTACACGTGTTTATCAATTAAGTGTTAGCCTTCAATGTCTACATGTGTCTTATCTATTGAAGGCATTTAGGTTATATTCCTCAGATTCCCTGGGGCGTTTCCCTTGTCTATATGCGCGGCTCGCCATCCCGGTGCACCACTCTCCACCGTGTCCTACCTAGTACCTACTACCTAGGCCCCCCTCTCAGGTCAGACTCCAGCCGAAGCCAAGTCAGACCTGTCCCGACGGCGAGCGGGCCGGCACGGCGGTGGGCGGCGGGCATTGTGTCAGTAGCGTGGGCCACCCCGATGGGTGGAGCACCCCTCTGAATCACGGTTAGAAAGTGTCTGGTGAGGCCAGACTGCTCCCGGCAAGCATCGTTCGGTGCCAAATACGCAGTTTATGCTGAACGTTACCGCACGTATGGTGGTCTAGGGGAACCATGTGAACGGTTTTGGCGGACCGGACATCCCATGAATCAGCTTATCATGATATCTTTGGAAATCGCAGCATCAATTAAGTATCTTTTGCTAGCCTTCATGACTAACTAAGCCATCACCAATACCTAAGCCGTTTCATGCCACCCTGATTGACCTTCCAACTTAACGTGATGATGGTTGGTTTTACCTTCTGGGTTGTCAGATCGGCGAGGTGGTGCCGAGTCAGAGGTCGGACTCTAGAGGGATCGTGACCGTGGGTCTTTCAATCACCATCTAACCTTCAAAACCGCACGGCGCCTTACAACACCTTATAAATCCATCACACAGCCGCAGACAGATCTATCTAATCACGCTGCCACGCGCTCTCCAAGGACCCGTCTGATCCCCGAATCTTCCATCGTGCCATGCCCGCGGCAGGCTTTGCTTCGTAACATCCAGCCAGTCATGCCCTACGATGGAGATTCCAACCGGATGATTCTGTCGGTATAAACGGGCAGAATGCGATATTGCTCATTGTTCATGATGCAGTGTACTGATTGGTCACGAGCCAATGTTTGTTCGGCCCGTGCAGGAGTCGGCACGGGCGCCGCCAGTGACATGTGTCGCACGCTCTCCAGTCCTTCTCCGCGTCGGTAGTTTGCTGTTTGAGCTTCTGACTCTCGTCCGATTGGTGAATTCGTCCCTCTCGTGACAAGTGATAAGCTGGTCTTCGATATCAACGAGACTTGCATCATAGAGGCGCACCTGAGTTGACACGGCAGGTGCACCTGAGTTGACGGGTCTGAGCTGTTCGTCGAAATATGACACTGAAGTCGAGGCCCCGGGGTGTGCAGGGAGGGGGACGCAGACGGTATATAGATGTGACGGTGATGGGGGAGGTGATACTAGCGCGTGCCCGGCGGCGGCCCGAGTCGCTTCTTCTCAGACATACAGGACATCTGGGATGATGATACGAATGATACGGCACGCCCCGTGAGAGTGACCCCGGAGCCCGCGCGGGGATTAGAGCTGATCCTGAACGATCGGTTTACGACGCGTCTCGATGGTCCTCGTCCCCGGCTCCCGGTCGTCGAGAGCGGCAGCTTCTCCGCGAGTGTCGCACTTTGAGCCGGATGAGGTCTTACCTGCATGTCGCCGGTCATAGGGCGTGGGATGGTCCGATGTCCGGCGAACAGTAACGCCGAACGCGTGTCCCGATAGGCCCATTAATTCCGTTCGGAAGATCTTATCACAGCCGCAGTGCACGCACTGTCCTCGGATTTATGCGCTGAAGTGGAGAAGGTACATACGTAACGTTTGCATGTGCGTGACTGGACAGACGTACCTGCTCAGCATTTCAGGTACCTATTTATAGGTCTACCTATGACTTAAAAATTGATTATAGGTAGGTATACAATTGACTGAGACGGATAAATGCAATGCTCGTCGTTTTAACTCTCCCTCGGTGCTCGCTGCCTTGTACCTAAATGTAAAGTAAACTCGCCCAATAATCAGTATACCCCGTGTAAACATGCATTGATGTTACGGCTCCTGTCACATGGCTTTGACAACAAACGCTTGGATTTCTGCCCTATTAGCTCGTGTTTTCTGTTTTCATTACGCCGAGGTAAAAGCCTCAGCCTATGTGGAGAACGTATACCCTGTTAGCATTAAACGATACTCCTATCTTCATAATTAAGGTATGCGTCATGATTATATCCTACTTTATCACAAACGGCAGCGCACAAGCCATGACAAAACAAAACTGATGCCATACACTTTTACGATCTATAATTATACCATGATGGTGTGCGTTTCAGGGTGATACAACGCTTTTGTGTAGGGGAAGCCGGGGGAAGCCCGGGCGCGGGGGAAGCCCGGCCACCCCGTTTCCGGCTAAATTATTCACAATAAAATGCTCAACTGTTTGTCCTTTCAGCGTGGCAGCTAAGGTAACGCCAGCAAAAAAGTTAAGGCTGACAAAAATTGCATATTGTTAAAGTTATAGCGCAAAAATGATATTTTAAGGGTTTTTAGCTAAAAAGTGAGATATGTTGCACTGTTAATGTTATACCATACAGTACTAATATTTATACGAATGTTATGTAAGGACCGTTTAAGTGTTTGTAGTGAGGGGTGACGAGGCAGGCTGGCTTAAGTATGACATTTTTTTTTCGAATATCGCTGTTCTAAAATAAAAATTAGCACATTGGGGTAACCCCGGGCGAGTGGCCAAGCTTACCCCCAACCGTGAGCAATGCCACTAAACCACTGTTTTCCATGAGATAATAGGTACTGAGCAGGTTTGGTTTACACTTAGATCAAAGATAAATTTCGAAAATAAACATGTTATCATAGACAAAGCCAGTCATGTCACTTAAGGTCAACTAGGGTCAAACTACGTTTTTGCAGATAACGCGACAGACAGTGAAGCTAGAGCTTCAAAAATGGTGTCGTTGTGTTCTTCTTCATCAGCCGAGTCGAATGATATGCAATATGATGCATTAAGGTAAAAAGAAAAATAAATTTTAAGGAATTTTGAAATACACATTTTTTGTCAATTTTGCATCACGATTTTCATCGACCTGTGCTGTATATGTAGTAGACGCTAGCTAAAATACCAGTAGTGACATAAACTCTAAGATGTCCAGAGCATAATCAGTACCTTAATATTTCCCATTCCGTTAATATTTGGAAAACTCATAATGGTTTCATCAACTCGTTGTAAAGCGCTGGGGAGGTGGCCGGCGTTACCCCTATGCCGGGCTTACCCCAGAAAAATCAACACTTTTTTAAAACTTGATTTTCTCAACCTTATACTTATTCCACGAAACCGAATTTTTGGGAAAACACGGCCAATGAACTTAGCTAGCTAGCAGGATATCAACATTTTATACAGCACGTATGGTTGTAATAAAAATGAAAAAGAGCTTACTATGCCGGGCTTCCCCCGGCTTCCCCTATAGCTCTCCTGAGATTTATCGTTTCCAGTGTCCAGTGTTCCAGTGTAAAGGCCGTGTTACACTGCCGAATTTTGGCCACGACCCTGTCGCCGAATCACGTCTTGTAGGAAATCGGCGAACAGTTTACCGACAGAGGCGAACAGTTCGCCGACAGAGCCCGATTTGCAGAAAACGGGTGGGGGCCCCCCTAATCGTGCGCGGGTCGAAGCTGATCAATGATTCGGCGAACATCGCGAATGAATGGCGAATCTGTTGCGAATAGTCGGCGATACCTTGGCAACAAGTCGACGCACGCAGCGACATGTCGGCGGCGACTCGGCGACTATTTGGCGATCATGTTCGTTTATCTTAAATTCGGCGAACGGCCACGAAATTTTCATTTTTCATGAAATATTCGTGGCGGTCGTGACGAACCGTAAAAGTCGCGCGGTGGACATCGACTGGTCTGCGAAATGCCAAGACCGTGGAAGAAAGATCCCGAATCGGTCCGCGACATAGGATGACTTGCATATTCGTGCACATTCGTGTACCAAAATTCGGCAGTGTAACAAGGGCTTAACACGGCCTTTAGAAAGAAAGTCAAAGACGACGATTATTCGCATATCGGTATGCATTTCGTGATAATCTTATTCATGCCGTATACGGTTAATTCAAAGCGCCGGGCAGCACAAACGATCAAACATCATTCATTCTATCAACTAACCCATGGATGATTCCATTGGCGGCCAGCAGTGAGCCTCGCTCTGCAGTATCTCACATGACCTCATCTGCAGTGCCACGTAACAAATGAGTATGACCCGACTCGTGCACCATCGTCGCACCCTCGCCGTCACGGTCTTGCGAACGGCTTCCGTCGTGAGCCGCTCGGAATTTACAGCTCCCAACACGCCTCAATGAAGACTCCTGACTCAGAACTGCGCGTGACATATGCCGCCGGGCGCCCCTCTGGATCGTCGGGGGGGGGGGGGGGGAGGGGAATTGCGCCGCTCGTGTTACGGCATTGCCGGCGGCGTCATAGAAGGGGGATGGGTGACACGACCCACCGGCCTGGGTTTTCCGCCGGAGGCTGAGGAGAGGCGAGTGGTGGGCTCGGGACTCGGAGAGCGATAGCCCCGGTCGGTGGTGGTGGGGATGAAAAGGAAGCCGACACGGCGGGTATAAATTGGGAGGGGCGAGGGGGAGTGAGGGCGGTAGACGGCGTGACTAGACGACGTGGCTGGGGCTGGGGAAGCCCTTCAGTCCGGGGCAGTGTTCGCCACGGGCCGGGCCAGCCCAACGGGCCATGGGCCGGGCTGGGCTACGGGCTGGGCCGGGCCCCCAAATATCATTAGTTAACGGGCTATGGACGGGCCGGGCCAAGAGCTTTGTGGACTATGGGTTTTGCGACTAATGTCAATTTAAGAAAATTTGGAAACTGATGCAAACAAAACCCACTGGGAAAATACTAAAACTAAACCAAATTTAAGCAATGTGAAAGAAAACCTACTTCATATTGAATTTTTCGAATCTTGAGAATTATCCAATATCACATCATGTCACACATAGGAGGGTTTTCATAAAAATTCCGCAACCAAAAAGATCAGAGAATCTCTAGCATCATTAGTTTGTTAATAAAAGTTAAAATGTAGTTATCAGAATAACTTACTTAGCACTACAACTCCAAAAACTAAGAAGCCACTCAACAATGATGGGCTACAGGGCTACATTAAGTTTAACACTTATATATGGCGATAGTGAGACAATTCCAACACAGTCTTTTTTCCTTCACCGACGGCTTTTTAACGAACAGAACCTTAAAAGGATACTCACGAATCACACTGTAAGTAACGAGGAATTCTACAGAGTATTTCGCGATGAAAGCTTCCTTAAATGTCCATAAATTTGTCAAAATAATTCACAACAACAATCCAGCCACTTCTCAACAAAATCTCCCATCATGGCGCTATGCAAGCGCTATGTTTATGTGGCGGCATCCAAGGCCCTAAATACAAGGTTGCACGGACTTATTTCTACTAAACCTACCAGAATATAGTTTCACGGTTGATTATTTAAATAATTATTCAATCAAAATTTCTTTATCATTATCTCGTAATCATTTATAAGCAATTTTATAAATCAACTTTCAATTTGCTTGCCTTTTACTAGCAAAATAACTTTTCTAGTATTGGGTCAACATAGTGGTGTAGCAGTAGGAACCACATCTGGCAAAACCCCAATACCTACATACAGCAGAAAAGCAGCCACCAGGTGTCGCTACAGTCGCAGCACAGATGTCGCGCGCGTCGCCAATCGCCAAACTACCGATTTCCATAAGGATGCATATGTACAGATATGTAACGGAAAGTCGCCCTTAAGGATTACGCTTACATCCTTTGCTTATCAGGTCGATGGTTGGAAATTGGGAGGGTCTCGGCTATTTTCGACCACGGATATGCCTTTATCACATGATGAGGAACATGCTGATAAGCGTTTTATGTGTCATAACAGCACAAAAGTATTTTTAATCATTTTTCAAAAATAGCCGTTCTGCCGTATCTTTCAGTGCAAGGTGCCGTCGGTCATCCCCGACGTGACGTCACGCCGGGGATTTCCAGATTTTCCTACTAGACTTCGACGCCCCCTGGCGGCATCTATAGGTGGTAGTATACACCAAGATTACTTTACTACTCGTATACACAGCAGTATATCAAATAAATACGTTTTTTAAGTTAGTATCAAGCTAAAAAACAAAATGCAACGAATAGAAAATAAAACCTAGATCACGAAGTCTGAAAACTCGAACGAAAAACAAAATAAGAACTTGATTATATATGATTTATTATACAATTGGTCAGAATCGTTGCCTTCCGCAGCTGCGACAATCAAGAAGTGTTCGCTCATTTTCAATTGACGATGATGATGCGTAAAAGTCGCAAAAGTACCCAATGCCATTTCAAACTTACCATGTTTTCTGTTTACGCTGCTAGCGATATCCATATCTTGAAAAGAGCCTAACATAAAATAGCAAGGAAAGCAGCAGATAGTTGTCCACAGAGATTCGGTTGACACGTGGGCATGAATTGAAAATAGATTAAATCAGTTTTGCTGATAAATGGATAGATTTTCTCTTTTTTGGAAGACAGTGCTAAAGCTAGTGTCACCTATTCTGTATGCTTTCTCAGGCTTTTGATATTGCAGCATCAATGGAGTGAATTTAACAGCAAGGTCAATCCCAGACATGAGACAGATTCATCAATTCCCATAAGTCAAGCTTTTTTTCTGCTGGTAAGTGCTGGGAAGTAAAGAGTAAGTTGCAAATACTTCCTTCAAGTATGCATTAGAGTCACCAATTATGCATGATAATGTTCACACACATCAGCTTGCAAGATAACTTTACTCATAGAATGTGGTTAATATAATCATGTTAACTTTTTATAGGTGTGTAATCATGACCTAATTGACTAAGGTGCTTGCTGTTACTGTTAACATTTGTGCCATAGGTACTTGAAATGATTATATTCATTGAAAAGAAGGGAGTCATGATTGTCATGTTAATATTCATGCAATTTGAATTGTTCTCAAAATAGTGTAATCAATCATGCTTATTATAGCAATAGACTAAGACAATAACTAGATTGCTATTTTTGACGGGCCGGGCCGGGCTGGGCTTGGACATTTTGCCAAGAGCGGGCTACGGGCTGGGCCGGGCTCTGAACCCATGGGCCCGGGCCGGGCTGGGCTGGGGATTTTGGGGCCCGTGGCGAACACTGGTCCGGGGTTAGCTGGAAATCGGGGCTTTGGGATCAACCAGCCGGTCTTCTTTTTAGTTCAGTGTGATCGAGCTAAACAGGGGAAATGACCTCTAAATCAATCTCTTGCAAGCACAAGTCAACGTGAACGTTAATCTTGTTTAGTGATTTACGCAGGGCGCGTGTATTATACATTCGCATGAACTTGTGCATAAAAATTTCTTCATTTGGAAACAATCTGGAAGCAAATCTTTGAAACAAATGTGGCGTGGAAGATCCAGGAAGATCCACGTGATTATCGTGATTATTCACGATTCAAGGCCTTGCGATTCACGCAAGGCCGATTCACGTGTGAGCTGGGGGTGATTATTCTCTTTGTTCTTCTGCATTTCAATTTTCAGGGTCCAAAACTCTGATATCAAGTGGTTAAGTCCGGTATCATATTGATATAGGTCTTGATAACCAGCACCTTCAGTCTGCCTTGCTACAAGAGAATATGCCCAACGTTTTGGTTAGGTAAGTACAAAGAGACATACAAACACGGTACACGGACTTCGTTTACCACATTGACGGTTGAAAAAAGGCCGAATTATTGACTGCTATATCTATAAGGATGAAATGTTTGTGAATGTATCAAAATGCTCAAAGATGATATGAAGCGTAGAGCCACTTATGTATGTGTTTATCATATCCTCTCAACCAGGTTGAAAGCATTATTGAAAGACCGTTTTTGTGCCCTGCTAATGACCGTGACCCATATAGGAGCGCCAGCTCAGCGTCCGCACCTCCGCGTCCACCTCTCTCCCTCTGAGCTCTCCCATCTCCCGTCTCCCTTAGTTCTGAATCCATCCATTGACCTCTCCCCTCCACTCCGCAGGTCGCGGCGCGCCCCCGGCGCAGTATGTCTCACGGCTCACGCACCTGGGCGGGATTCCCGCGATGGGCGGCCCACCACCTCCGAGTCCGTCTTCCGGAAGGACCTCAGCGCCCGGGGCCCGCCGCGCGGCCGGCCGCCGTCGCTATGACGTCACGCCTGGCCGCGGCGCGACTGGACCGGCCGGCCGGCCAGTCAGTTGTGTCTGGTCGCCGGTGCCGCGAGGGTTGCGAATACGTCGCTGCCGCAGCTGTGCCACCGCCAACCACGTGAGAGGGACAGGACGGGGACCAGGCTGGTACAGAAAGGAGTGTGAAGGGTGATATTCACCCTCGGAAGATTCTGATTCGACACAGGAGCTCAGGTGGCCGGCGGACAACGGTGGTTGGCACGGGCGGTGACCGTGCTGTCAGTGAAGGTCGGAGCTCCGTGCCAAATCGGACCAGCTGACCGGCCCGGCGACACCGGCTCTGCCTACAGGTGAGTACAGGATAGTGTGTTTTTTTGGACGTTGGTGTGTGTTTTTTGTCCGATCAGCTGATTCTGTGGTACCCTGCTGACGGGAGGCCCCGTGACGTTCGTGAAGGAATGTCGGCGCCGGCGGCCGCACGCGGCTATTGATGCTGTGATAATACGACGACGTAGCTTGCACGCATTTTCATACGGTGTCCTTTTGAGTGGATAAAGGCGAGCTTTTTGCCTTTGTGGAGTTCGTCTGGTTTTCGCACGTCTTCAAGATATGCATCATAAAAACTATCAAGAATTGGAGCCCGTATCAACTGTTGGTCAGATTAATTGCGGTGATTGAACATCACGTACCTTCAGAGCGATGTTGCAGGTTCAGGACAAATTAAAAGGTTTGTCTTCAATGCATTCATTGTCAAAGCGTCCTATTCCAGCATTGATATTGCTGGGCGTCTATTTTTTCTCACAGGTAATTTGAGCGTACATTTTCTGAGAATGTCGGATTTCTGTTTTATTGCTCAGCAATGGACATTGAACATCGGACATACAGTGAGTTGTGCGTCGAAAACCTCCGACACTCTGTAAAAATGCATAAACAGCGACACGTCGTTGGCCATTCCTTGCTGCGTAAATATGGCGATGCTATAGGCATGGCGACCTCCAAACCGGTTTGTAAACCACAAGTTCAGCAAAAATCCTCCGCAGGGTGGCTTCAATCGCCAGCTGGCCTTACGTAAGGTTTCGTCAGGCATGAATTTCTGACACGCCAGTTCATCGATAGGAATCCGGGACCTGTTCGCAGGAGTGAACGAAAATCACCCAGCCTCGTCCAGCGCCACAGATCGCTCCCCATTCATTCACCGAGTCGTGACTGGCGAGCGGCCACCATTCACCACTCGGTGCCGTGTGACACCACGCTGTCGGTGGTGACCCGTTTGGCAGCACCACCGATCAATCACCAGCACCACAATCCATCACAGGAGGAGTCTCAGCCGCTCCGTCGGCCGCCGGGCGCCGGGCCAAACAGAGGTCAGTCACTGCGGAGGTCACCAGGTGTAAAAACGGAGAGCCCGATGTAACTGGCACCCCATCAGTCCGTCGTGTCTGACGGTCCGACGGGAGTCTCGCGGCCGACACGGCACCACTCGTCCCGTCGGGTCTTCCCTCGTCGTTTTCTTGTCCGGTTTCTTATCGTGGTTTCTCCTCATGGTGCTCCGAGCTTTCGCAGCCCGACAGCTGTGTGCCGTGTTGCGTCATATGCATCGCCTCCCGACTTGCATTGTCGTCAGCGGATTAGTTTATCTTATGCGGCGCAATACGACGAATGCCGGTCGACGGGACACCGGCGGGCTTCCAAACGAGTTGTGAGCCGGCGCGGATGGTCCGACTTCAAGGTCGGCGGCGGCTGGCGGCGCCGGACGGTGCACGGTGCAGCACGCGCTCTGTGCAGTATAGTGGTGCACGCTGGTGACCGGCTGCACTTGTGACGTGCATCCATAGACAGTACACCGAAGGGCGGTGTGGACTCTGGCGTGGATGGATGCTACTTGGACGCCGAAAAGCCTGATACCTATACTGGTGGCCACTGAGGTGTTAGGGGGATTGGGTGTCTTATGAGCGCTGTCCATGGCTGGTCACCGCTTTTGGCACAACCACTGACAGTGCCAAAAGCGGTGACCACTGACCAGCGGTGACTATCCTTGACTGCAGTGCCATGGCGGTGGCTCACGTTGACTAGCATAAACTAGCGATAGCCAAGGCTTCTTTTTAACCCGATTATGAGATGCCTACCCCAATCCTATCCACTCGTGAAAACATTGCCGTGGGCTGATCCATGTGAATCGGAGCGTATCCAGCCTTCAGGCCCGCCCACGGCACCTCACTCCACGTCAGGCGGTCGGCTGGATGACAGCTCTGGACTAAAAGTAAACCAATCCGGAATCTGCTCGTCCAGACGGGAGCGGAACTGTTTTCACACGGCTCGGTTCAGTGACAGTGCCAGCTCCTAATCGGAAAACGGCCGCGCCGCCGGCCCGCGAGCCAACGGGCCGTGACGGCTGAGCTGAGATCACGCCTCCTCAGGGCTCACGGCAGCACCGATACATATTGATAGTCACGGCCCCCGGCCATAGCGGCAGCATACTGGGACGCTGTTCATGGCTGGTTTGATTAAATTCTTGGACAGTGTAGCATACAGCTGCAGCCTGCACTGAGTGACCTAGTGTTTATACCGTGCTGATTTATCCTTGTGAGATATTGCTCTAAATAGGTTCTTTATAACTAGCTCGATATCAGTAAAGACAAATTTATGCATCGCCAATTGAAATGCAAAAAAACGATTCAAAGGTGTATCTGATCAAAATATCTATCGATTTAACTGCGAATACCAAAATATGTGTATGTACTCGAGAGTCGTGCACCGTTGTATTTGAGTAAGCAACACAATGTGATTATTTCGACTTTCGGAAGGGTCGTTTAGAATTAGGTCATTTCTTTTTCTCACAGCGATCCTTTTAGGTACAACAGAGGCCTCTTGCACCAAACTACCTAGCTAGGTAAAATCGAAAAACCGTTTTCAGAATAATATAATCTAACGGTGGTAAATTTGTTTGCAATAGCCAAATACATAATCCTACATGTGCTTGCTAAATTTTGCATGCAAATTGTTACATTTGAGACTTGGACTGGGTATACGATGCAAAAGAATCCAAGCATTGGTGCAAGAGGATTTTGGTGCAAGAGGCCTCAGATGTGACGCCAGAGAAAGCGACAACCGCCGTTTTTTTTTCTTCACTAAAACCGTGATCATTGGGTGATCCTGATAAGGTCGAACAGGGAGGATTTCGAAGACGACACCGGCCAGTGTCGTTCATCAGAACAATATTTATTTTTTTATAAGTTCTTGCTGTAATTCAGGGTCTTTGTAGAACGTTTCTTTCGGACTGGACCAAGGTGTCTCGACCGATTCTGCCGGAAATGTTTACACTGTCGTTGTAGACAGGTTGCTGTCACTCTGTCACTGTCAAAACAAGACAATCTGGTACATTTATTTTTGGAGTTCTACTAGAACGGCGTGAATAAGCCGGGATAACAGCCACACACTGTTTTGTAACTGGTGTAAACTGATGTAAGTGATGTAACTGATGTAAAACCGGTGTACGGTTTTAAAACTGTCCAGTGCAACCGGAGGTCTGCATGGGCCATTTTTGACAGAAGGATAATCAGCTGCGGCACAAACTTAACCACAATAGAAGTCCACCTCGGTAGTGTAGGTATACAATACATGCCGACCGCAAACTAACCAAGACAGGAAGCAAGTGGTGTCATGAATGCATCATTTGTCGCGTCGGTTGTGTCGGTCGGAAAACTTCACACTCATGCCACGGAATAACTACTCCACTCAATCGTTTCTTTGTTCCATGGCGTCCTGGAGCTCCGTGGGCCCCTCCAGGGCTTCGGTAATATTCAGCAGCTCGCCTGGTCGCTGCAGGCATAAACCCAATCGTTTGACCGTCTATAATAGTGGTAAGGTTTTCCATACGGGCACATGTGGGCCAAGTAACAAGTGATTGGGTTCTCCAAATGGCTTAAATGGGCCAGTGAGGGATTCTGATCATAGCTCTGCTCTAAATATTGGCGTTATATAAGAAACGCTCATTGGTTATCGTTATATGCAGGCACCGGCCGCCCTTGCTACGCAGTACGCGTCCATTCAACAGTTCCTGTCGCGCCGCCAGCCGTCTGGAGCCGCTGTTATCTGTGGCGCCGCCGGATTCGACGGGTGTCCGCCGTCCAATCGCCGCATGAGCTCACCATTGCCACCGTATCTGACGCCGCCGGGGGCCCTCTCCGCGCGCATGGTGTCTGTGGCTCACACGTGCTGTGAGGTCAGGACAGGGCGGCCGACGAGCGGCGCCGCCCCCGCCCCCCGCCCCCGCCCCGTCCCCGCCGCGGGCGGACCGTCGGCGGGGCCGTGTCATGTGGTCCGATCTATGTCGGTGGTGGGCCATGTCAGCACATACCATCCGGTCCGCCGGTGATAATTTTCACAAGCTCCGCACCGCTATGGGCGCCGATGATAATTTTAACCATCTCCGCAACCGCACTACGCTGAGGTCAGGGGAGACGATCATGTTCGCGCTAGAGGTCACACCCAGTACGCATGTTAATTACATGTCCTATACCGCACTACCGCAGCTGCCGTCCTGGACTCCTGATCCCTAGAGAAATCGCGAAACGCGGCAAGTTCTAAAGATTGATTATTTGTGTGGCCCCGGCCATTCTTTCTCCCTCCTCTCCCCCTCTCTCTCTCTTTCTCTCTCTCTCTCCCTCTCTCTTCCTCTCCCTCTCCCATGACCCGTTCCGAAGGCGGATGTGGGGTGACCGGTGAGGTGATCACTGATCACACTCTGCGATCTATGACAGCGGGTGCGGCGGCGTGCCGGACTGATTGGCTCAACTGGTTACCGCCCGAGCTGTGAGGTCAGTATCTGGACGAGCGGAGCTGGTCACTGGTCAGCTATGGAGAGCCGGCGCGAGCCGGGCACCCGTCGACGTTCGGCTACGGCGACCGGCGGTCATCGGAGCTCGGTATTCGAGTCGGTGTTGGGTGGAGGTCTGATTGGATTCATCTAGCCGAGATCATGTGTTGAGATCCACGGAGGCCAGCAGCTCGGTATTCCTATCCAGTTGCTGGGCTCGCTCTTACATCTTTGTGAGGGACACCGACCGACGATGAACCCAGGCGGGTTCGTTGACCCTGTCCGGGGGCCGGATGGTCGGTCAGTCGGTCGCTTGGCCGACTGGCCCCGCCTTGTCGCTTACTTTCACAATACGGGTCGGACGGCTGTTGTATGCGCCGCTGTAAATATGTCGCTCGCCGGCCGAATTTAGCCCGGGGCGGAGGCGGGGCACGGCGGGGATCCCCGGCCCATTCCAACAGCACGTGCTGAGTGACCTTGGGGTACGGCTCGGCCCGGGCCAGGCCCAGAGAGTTAGTCACGCACCGTGACTCATTCCACGGAACTCGGCTGCTGCGCCGTCCAGTCCGCCGGGCCGACCGGTCAATTCAGCCCGGTATGAGCGGTTCTTTGTATTACTCAGTCGCGTCCCGGTCATTAATGGGGTGACGTCAATGCGCGCCGCTCCGCCGCATGTGATCCACTCTCAGCGGCGGCTGTTGGCGTTTTTGCGCAGCTCTCAGCCGGACTCTCGCGTTGGCCGGATCTCACTGGCGATCAGGTTACCGCGGGGTGACATGGGTCGCACGGCCGCTCTGCCCGCTCGCAGATCCCAGGCGAGCAAGCCTGGGATCACGGTCATCTGGAGGCGCAACGTGACTTGCGGGGAAATTGCGACCCAGTGCCTCAATAAAGTCAGACTGATTGATGGAAGTTTTCCAAATAGCGCCGACGCTCAGACAACACTGTCCATTATCGGGTCAAAGGACGGTTCTATAGCGAAGGCGGACTAAATCACATGGCTTAGATCACCTCCAATGTGCTACTGATCAGGTCGGTCAATGGAACTTTATTGCTGTGACCTACTTTCTGAATGACAGATTTTCTGCGGCAAAACGTGATCAATGGCTGCGCGTAAATCTTTGTTGGTTATTCTATGACAGTTCTTTGAGTCTTGAAGGCCATGACCTGTTCAATGTTCATCATGTTGTGCTTTCACCCAGCGGCGTCATGTAGGAAATCGTCTGGCTGCATCTCACTGCAACCCGGTTACTGCAGTGCTAGAACTGTGTACTGTGCAGTGTGCAGACTGCAGTGTGCAACGTGCATGTGTGAGAAGAAATATGCAATGTAAGAAGCTCGCGCCATGTTTCCTCGTGTTGACTCGTGTTGGCTCGTGTTGCCGTGCCACGTTCTCCTGTGCCCTATCGTCTATGACCGTTTACTGTCCGTTTCAGGAACACCATCGCACCGCTCCGTCCCTGTCTGTCACCCCACCTCTCACCGCCGCCCGTCCGTCGCCCTGCCGATGGTCTCCGCCGTCTGACCCGCCCGGTCGTCGGTGACGACTCGGCCCGTCGGCGGCATGGAGGCGGTGTGCGGCGGCCGGCGGCCGGCCCGGTGGGACGACCCGTGCCGGCTGGACCTGGTCACCACCGCCGCCGGCGTCACCTACTCGCTTCTGGTGCTGGTGATGGCCGTCGTGTGGCACACGGCGCGCCGGCAGCGGCGCAGCGGCCCGCCGCCGCCGCCGCGCCGCTTCAGCCTGCACTCGGCGCGCTGGCTGCTGGCGCTGGCCGTGGCGCTGTTCTCGCTGGCCGCGCTCATGGACGCTGTCCTGGCCGACTGGTACGCCGCCGAGAGACGGCCGCACGTGTGGGCCGCTCCGGCCGCCGCGCTGCTCGGCATTTTTGCCGTCACAGCGCTCACCGGACTGAGCGAGCGGGACGCGGCGCCCGGCCGGCTGCTGGCCAACCTGCTCTACTGCGGGCTGGCGGCCGCCGTCGGCGCGTGCAAGGCGCACTTCTACCTGAGTGTGGACGGCCTGGACGTGCGCCACGTGCGGGTGCTCGCCACGTGGGCCACCATGTTCGTGTACGCGGCGCTCACGGCGCTCGAGGTGTACTTCGCGTTTGTGGAGGTGAGTACGGGGGGGGGGGATTTGAGCCGAGGTCTTGAGGTTGAGTGGGTTTGGGAAGGGAATCTCAGGTCATCGCAACAGCTAGTGCATGGCTGCGTTTGCTTTGGAAGAGAACTCGGGTTAGGTGTGTCTGTGTCAGCGCGGGTTAAGGCCATGGGACAGGTCTGGGCATTGGCTTTATTCGGGTGGGAGCGGCGAGAAAGCTGCAATATGCCGCTTACCGTTAGGGCATACCGTTAGGATGATGTCAAATATCATGCGATCTACATTACTAAACATAACGCAGGTTTTATGTGAGGAAGCAGATTGCCTGATCAAATTGCGGATTTCTCCAATGCCTCTAAAAATAAACACCGAGATCCATCAAATTAATCAACTCAGTGATCGTTCCAAACCTATCTATTACCGCCCTCACTGGAGGCAGATCCCGGATATAATTTAAATCGCCCTGATGCGTAGCAGTTCCGCGTACACGGCTGGTCGGTGTACCGTGTCATGGGGTCCTCTCGGGGTTAATGATGCGAGTCTGCACAATTCGTCACAGTCGACTCTGTCAGCCGTGCCGCTGCAGCCGGGAGGAGCCTGCACGGCCACACCCTGCACCGCTGACCCGACGACGTACGTGTGTGTAAACGATCGCTGCCATTGGCAGTGAACGGCGAAGGCCGGGAAATGTGCACCGAAACTTTCCCATGCCTATCGACGGTGGATGGTGTTTGTAAACATCGGTGTGAGATGGAACTCTGGTCTGCATAGTAGCTGCAGCGTGGTGTTATGAATTCCGAATTTATGTTACTGGGTGGGGTGGTTGTAGTGATCGTTTGATTCAGGCCGCCACCGTTTGAAGACGGGAGAGCCGATGAATATTGTATGAACTGCTCGGTTGAAACGTCACCGGATCTGATAGACGTGTTATTTGTTCCATGGAGCTAATGGACCCGTCACTAAACCATCAAAGTGAACCCATCCCTCCAGCTGATACCAAACCACGTCTCTACAGCCGTCTCAGTACAGACTCCACCACGTAAGGCTTCACCACACAGCTCCTCGATCGACCTCCTCAATACTACTACCCTTCACACGAAGCAGGCTTGGTCGCCGGCTCGGCCGGTTTCCGTGTCCCGGTTTTCCGGTTTTGACCGTCGACTGTTCAGACGAGTGGCCTGTATTTTGCCACCGTGTTTGGTACCGTCCGTTTTCCGGCCGTCTGTTTCGACTGTGTCCGCCATTCACTGTGGCTGTGTGCCGGTCGGGTCGGAAGTGTAATGGGTTCCACTGGTCAGCGGCGCCGCGGGGTCCGGCGCCGTCACGGCACGCGTCCTTCCATTCACTGGTGGGTCGGCGGCGGCGCCGACCTCCGCCGTGGGTCGGCGCCGGCCACCGCCGCCGCTCCAGCCGCACTGTAGACTGTTTGGGCAGTAAAGGCTCGGTTAGACGGGTTAAACGGGCGGATTAGATGACCACTGCGGTTAGACGGAATGAAGAGGCGCTCTCTGGCTGGGCATTAATGCACTGTTGTGACAGTCTGATGCCAGACTGTCGGTCTGTGTATAGTCTGTGTGAGGGAGGGGCTGTGGCGGAATGCGACACCAGAGCTTCCGCACTGCAGCGTCTGCCGCGGTGGCCCTTCTGCGGTGTTTTAGAACAGACCGCTCGGTCAGTGACTCTCAATAGCGGCTTGTGCCTGTTTTATCGTTCAACACCGTCGGCGCGTCTCGGTTTGGGCACCGCTGTGTGAAAATCAAATAAACCCAGACCATGCACGAATCAAATTATCGCTCGGAATAAGCTCTGTCAACACTATCAGTGTGTTGACATTGAGTTTCAGTCAGCCATGCCGTTTTTCATCAGCAGGCCTTCCGAATTGGATAAAACCCGTCTAGTAGTTTTCACGGTGAAAACTGGCGGCCATGGTCGAGCTATGTGCGGTATTTGACTCGCTTCTGTAATGGCTCCCGCGAGACGTGCCCTGCCGTATTACGCAGCGGGCTCTGTAAAGCCAAACATCTCACGGGCGTGTTTTGGTCTGGATCATCACAGTCGTGCCTGAGAGGTGCGACGTAACGTTCGGGTTAGTTCAGAAAATTGTCCGCGGCTGTGACTGTTCTCACGCCTGTTTGCGCAGCGTCATGTCGAGTGTATTTCAGCGGCTCAATTTGCATTGGTGCTTTATAGCTGATGACTCGCATTGGATGTGTAGGAGAGAGGATGTCGTGTGCTGGATCCTGTTTGTGATTGGGCTATAGGTGCACGATGTGGCGTAGTTGATGCTATACCGTCGTTTCCGTATTTTAAATAGTTCATGTCATAGATAGCATGAATCATGCTAGCTAGGTCGGTAATTATGTCTGGGCTTGGTCCATGTTTTTCGTCAAACTACTAGCATGACATAACACTTTTTGACTATGTGCACTGTGTGCTCGCATCATTTTTTTCTCACTCGGCGTATTTGCTGCGTAGTTGAGTGTGAGTGATATTACATTTTTCTCTAGAACTGCGTGACTCGCAAAATGATGTTCTTCATCTCGCAAATTGAATTTTGCGCGTCTGATGTGCGTCTGCCCCGAAAACAGCACACTTAGGCCGGACGAGCCAGTCAGCTGTAACCCTCAATTATCGTTATCAATATTCAATTTATCGACGGTCAAACTGATCATCTCTCACATAAACTGGCCTTGTGGGACTAGTCTGCGTCGCCTCACCAGCCACTTTTAATCGCCCGCCCACACGTAAACAGGATATACCGGGTAGGGCGGTCGTCTGATGGCACACTGCATCGCTGACCGCTCACTTCGTCACTTTGTCACGGTCGCCGTGACGCGTCACCGGCTGTGCAGTGACGCACGCAGCTCCAGGGAGTGTCACTGCGAGTGACCCTGAGTGTCACCGGTGCCTCAGTGACGGAGCCAGGAGTGCTTATCATGTGTGGTGCCAACGCGCTAATGGTGGCCTGGATAGACCGTCCGAGGTGACTGGCTGAGTTCCGATAGAGTCATGGATAAGTGGTGACGATGCCATGGGTCATGGATCGCGAGAAGATATGACGTAGTGATCTCACTGTCACTGGCCAGTGGTAAAAGAAGATTTAGACGTGGCTCAGAACGCGTTGATTGTGAAAGGAAGACCGTCAAAGCCAACTGATAATTACATCGCCTCTTCGAAAACTTGGGACATTGTTGGGCCATTGCGCCATGCGCTGATCAATAACCGGCGCGTACTCGCTCCCCTTTTCATGGCCGCGCTGTCACCGTCCCGTGCAGATAACGTGACGCGTGCCGTCACGGCCGTCACGCTGCACCGCGTCACGACCGTGACGGCGCCGGCCGGCCGGGCGTCACTCCGTGAGCAGCGGATGAGAGCGGCGGCGGCGAGCTGACGGGTCTGAAGTGAGCCGCACCGCCAGCAGGCCTCTCTCCGCGACTGACAGATGCGCCGCGTGCTGACAGTTGGGGTGACTGCGTGACGCCCTAGTTAGCCGGTGGGCTGGGGTGTGGATAAAATGCAGCAGATAGCTGGGCGGGCCGGGTGGCGGGTGACTATGAACAGAACCAGAGGCTTGTCCTTGGTCAGCTGATACCTGCATGATACCCAGAGTGGCGAGAGATGAGCGTTGGCAGCTGAAGGATACGGAGTTTAGAGATGAGTGTGGGGCGATGAGGCGATGGCAGATCACTTACAAGTGAAAGGTCAGTCAGACGTTAGGTTTAGAGACCGTCGGAGTGTAGTCTTTAAATTCGGGAATTCGATAGTCACGTTTGTTCTTTTACACTCAGGATCCTTCATTGTTGGATGCGGTGGTGTGGATGTATGTAGTTCTGCCGTCCAAAGGCAAAACCGCATATGTCGGGTCAGGTCATGACCCGACATATGCGTTTTTGCCTTTGGACGGCAGAGTTGTACCTACTTTTTCTCTTCTTGCCTGGCTTTTTTTCTTCCATGGTTTCGGCGGCTCTGGCATCCTATTGCAGGCGCAGCTACCCGAGCATTGTTTTACCCTGGGACATGCCGTACCGTTATGCAGCTATGCATTGCGGGCCTGTCTACCCAACAGGCATTTTCAACATTGAACTGTAACCTTCATCTTCCTCATATTATCCAAAACATACCGAACTCTAAACAACCCCGTTTAGCTAGACCGCAGACCATATTTTCTACTCGGACCGCAGATTTCACGGTGGCTGAAAACACACCAAACAACCAGTTCGCGGCTTCTGCAGCATGCATGTATCGGAGTGTAAACTTTTGCCGACCTTTGACTCGCGGGCCGGGTGGAGATACTCGTCACCCGTTACTCACCATTGCCGTCGCTGGGGCGACATCCGTTGGTGGGCTTGTTCAGAGGTCTGACCGGTCGCCGGGCGGTGGGCGGTGGGCGGTGACGACGGGGGAGGGAGGGGAGGGGAGGAGGATGGAAGTCGGCGGCGGCGGTGGCGACGGCCCGACCTTGATGTGGTCGCGGTCTCTCGTCGGTCGCGCCGGCCCATGTCGCCCGCTGCAGCGCGGCTCCGGCCGTGCGGCTGCAGCCGCCGCTGGCAGGCTGTGCTATCTGTCCACGCTGCATCCCCCTCCCCCTGTGACGTGTGACGTCACTGTCGTCAATGGCGGAAACTCCCCTCCCCTCCCGCCCCGATATCCTCACAGCGTGTCCTGTAATGTCGAAGGAGACGGCGTGGCTCGCTTCTTCACAGCGTGGCGGGGGTATTTCCCCTTTTCCTTATCGTGATTGCAGATTGAAGAAGGCAAGGCCAAATTTTACGCTTTTGCATTATTATTTCTTTTGCTTAGGGAAAGACTTTAGCGGGGAAACACTGACGAAATGCTTTGTACCTTTTGTTGGAAATCTAGCATGAAAAGCGGTTGATGAACGTCAATTTAGCCAGCAGTGAATTGCTGCGTCACGTGGCCTTCAAGGAAACGCATGCATACAAATGGTCTTGCCACTGTTCCTTTTAGCTCAATGATCATCCCAAGCAAGCTATGACAATGCAGAACAGACGACGGGTCCTTCCCGGGGCGCCTTAATAGAACGCTTGACGTTGAACGTCCGTGAATGGTTTGACAGTCAACAGGTTACACTGGTCACGAACAATCGTGCGAAGATTACCGTGGCTTCGAACGAAGTCCATCTAAGCCCCTGCGTGCAACAGTCATTGTTGATCCAGCTCAATCTGGCTCTCAGTCGCGGACGACTCGCCGCCACTCATCCCACATGATGACGATCTATGGCAATAGCGGCCATGGTTTCCGTCTCCTGTCCGGAAGCCGCGCCTATAAAACTGTCCTGCTGCTACCGACCACCGGACGGCCGCGCGGGCTGTGGGTTGTCGTGACAGTGGCTGTCCCGTGATAGTCTGGTTTAGTCGGACGTTAGTGCCGGCTGCGTGACTGGTTGATACGTAGCACCAGTGCGCGGCTCCGTACTGGTCGATAGCATCTGGACAGGTTGTGAACGAAGGGACAGGTTCTGCCATCTACGAGTAAATTATGTAGATTGAGACCTGTGGCGGCTGAGGCGTGCTTTTGTCGATGGAGAGATCAGCATGCAATTCGGCGCAGGAACGATTGGTGCTCGAACCCGAGATCTCACAGTGTTGGCTAAAGTTGACATGACATAATGCATGATATTCAGCATTCAAATGTGGTACCCACTACCCAGACTTATGTCGCCACTAAAGTGAGAAGCGAGAACACAAGTGCCGCTTTTGAGAGAAGGCCTGATAAACACTCTTTGCATGGTTTGTTTTCGCAATGGGAATATATGATCTCGAGGCGGATTTGTACTTCTTTTGGGTGCCGGCCGTGAGTTACGTTTGCTGTGTACTCGTATAAATGCAATACGGCAGTCGGCAACCGTTGCAGCCAACCAATGTGCCGAGCTCGTTTACTTTAGTCTCACTGGGTAATTGTCCAATGTATGCCAACGTTTCCGGCTGGAACGACCTGTTGGAACGACCTGTACCGTTTTTTCGATGCCATGAGGTGCCGATTGTAGAACATCACTCGATTCTCCTTAGACAAACGGAGACAAAGCCTTCGAATGTGTTCCTTACTCGAGGAGATGCTTGACGGTCTTGCCTAACATCATTAAAAAAAAAAACTGATGGATATTGGCTGACATTGGTGGAATACTGACTGATATCATTTCCGTATTCCAGCGCTACATGTGTAGCTCGTATCAGCTGAACGCCGAGTCGGACGGTGTGGACCTGAACGAGTTCGCCTACAAGCACCCGTTCGCCAGTGCCGCTGAGAAGGTGACCTTTTCATGGATCATCGGCCTGCTGCGCCTTGGCAACCGTTGGCCCATAGAGTTCCACAACCTTGGCAGGTCAGTCGCAGTGGCGGCGAGGGAGGGAGGGGGGGGGGGTGAGGGGGCGGTGAGGAAGAATGGCGAACCGTTGAGACAGTCCGTATCTGGTTATCCTCCATCAATCGAATTTCGTCTTTCATTTTTTTCTCGTTGAATGCTTGTCATCGGTGAAAATGATGATTGTTTTGTACTGGCCCGTATAGCAGGAATCAGTGTACAGTGTAGTGTACAGTGTAGTGCAGTGTAGAATCAGTGTAGTTCTACGTAGATACGATTATGTGGTGTTGGTGCGCTGTCTACTTTCCCATTGTTGGGAAGACTATAGCTGACCGCATGTTTTCTGTTTATAGTTTGCCGCCGGGAGAGGGAACGCTCCCTCATTATGAAAAATTTAGCAAGCATCTCAATAGAGAAAAGGCAAGTGTTTGCTTGGAAACATTTACACAGCATGCACCGATTCCAATGTTCAATCGTATTTTGCTGAAGGTGCTGTTGCACTTGCCTCGTTTCTCTGTTAAAACAATATTCCGTCTCAAACAATGCAAGATCCTTTGCTAGTGCTTATGCCGCTGTTAATCACCCATTTGCTCTCACGGACGTTTTGCCCAGAGCACCTCCTATCCCTGCTCCACGTGACTGCTCTGACCGTGCTGGTCCTCTGGCGCCGGGCAGGGTCTGTCGGGCGCCGGCCGGCAGCTGAGCCTCTGGCGCGTGGTGTGGCGCACCCACCGCACCCGGCTGCTGCTCGGCGGCTTCCTCAAACTCTGCGGCGACATGGTGGGATTCGTGGCACCGCTGGCGCTGCGCAACATCGTCGAGTTCGTGATGCGCCATCGGGCCGGCACGCTGCCTACCGATTTTCTCGAACGGGACGGGGTGAGTATGGGTGTCCGGGCGGCCCGGCGGCGGCTCATGGCTGGGTTGTTTGTGCGGTGCTGTCACCACCCTCTGTCCGGCCCTGGGCGGCTGCACGGTACACAGCCGTACCGAGCGGAGGTGTCGCCGCGCCCCGTCACCGCCGCCGCCGCCGCCGCTGTCGGCTCCTCTCTGCTGCTAGCCGCGGCGGCGACCGGTGAGGTGTGGTTGCAGCGTGCGAGGCCAGACTGGGCAGAAGGGAGGGAAGGTGGCGGGTCACACGGAGACGGCTCTGACGGGTGGGGCCCGGTCTGTCTGTCTGGGCGGTAACCGGTGCGTCTGACCCTCGACCGACGGTGTCGACAGACTGTAAACCGACGGACAGGCGGACGGACGCAGTGCAGACACACAGGCAGACGGGCATGCAGACAGATGGGAATACACATGGAGCTGTGGAGGCTGCACA